TTAAATTAGATTTCATCCTACTTTTGTATGGACACTCATTGCATTGGTACCATTTACCTTCTTCTTCTTTCAAGTGTACGTTGGTTATGTGTCTAGTTACATGACTTTTTTTCGTAGTTTTGTAAGGACATTTTTCACATTTGTGCCATTCAACATCACGTTCGTCTAAGTGGGTTCGTTTTATGTGAATGCTTAGATTTCCTTTCCATTTGGTTTTAAATGGACACTTATCACACGCATATTGTTTGTTTAAAGCATGTTTTCTCAAATGACGTTTAAAATTACCGTTATCTCTAGATGTGTAGGAACATAGTGCACAGTAATACCAACCTTTATGTGTCGTATTCTCTTTCACCGAACTCATACTTTGGAGATTTTCTTTTTTTCCGGTGCATTCTGAAGTATGTTGAAGCCACTTCAACGACAGATTTGTTTCCAAATCGCACTTTTCGCAAACGTAATTTCGTACACTGAAGTCCTCAATTGATAAATCGTCCCTAGATTCGCTTTTAAAGCTGTGATTTTTATTAATGTGTTGTTTGAACAGAATCGTTAGTTCCGTTTTAAAATCGCAGTCTTTACAAAGGTACACTTCAATTTTGGCGTTTTCGCACGTATATTTTTCCTGAGATAAACGGTGTCGTCGCACGTGATTCACCATTAAGAAAAGCGATGTTGTAAAATATGGACACAGTTTACAGTTGTGGACGTTTTTCCATGAAGATCTTCCCAATGCTCGAAGAGATTCAGAATACTCCAAAGTTGACATTTTAATTGTTCAAAACTGTCTTAATACACAGGCAAACAAAATTCTAACCTGACTTTTTTTGGAAAAATACAATTCGAGGTGGATTAGACTCTGATAAGTGGGCGATTGTTCTCGTTTCACCTAAAACACAAAAAATCGATACTAAATATGCTAATTTTCTAGCTTAAATAATTACGAAAATTATTATTTGTTCACATTTTAAAGGTTAGGTTGATTGAGATGGTCAAATTGAAAATATCCCTAGTTAGTAACTTCAATTGGTATATATTGGCAACGCTTGTTAAATGAGTGCCATAGTTTTCCGCTACAAACATTTTTATTAATAATATTATTCCAGAAACTACCCTTAATGGCTAGTTAACAATCTCGGCGTTTTTTCAATAGTCTTTATTAACCAATTCGGTCGTTAAATAACTACTAATAACTATATTTATACTCTGGGTTCACATCTCCATGAACTTAAAAAACGATAGATCGCTACCTACCGAAAATGCATGAAGCATGAGACGTATTTGAAAAATTTAGTGTGTGGTTCCGGGGAGAAATTTTCGATTTATAAACAGTTGAGAGGTGTTTTAAGTGAATTTTCTAGTGTTGTAAAATAACGGTTACCTAAAATATTACCCGTTTCATTTTTAATTTTGTCGGTCCTTATTTTGGTAGTGACAAGTGAATTTCGAGTCCAAAAAGGCAAAAATTGCTGCAAGTCTCCACGGCTGGATAAAAATTATCCGGAACCCGTGGTAGATGAAAATTTTCAATCTGTTTTTCGAAGAATGTGCTATAAAAATTGAGTAAGACATCCAAACTTTTAACATTGCTCTATTTTTGAATTCGTCACAATTATTTTCATTAGTTCCAATTCTAAAGAATTTCCGTAATTTATTGATATTTTCTTGCACAAAATGAATTAATTTTATTGTTCAGATCGCATGTGAAAAGAAGTTTTTGATAACTCAGCATATTGGGACAAGCCTTCACAAAAATAACCTGAAGAATTCTACCAATGAATCTTTCTCCAACACTCAGAAGATGCCAGATCAATAAGAATATTAAGACACAATTTTAGATATTTGTTGTATGGGTCCAAAGGGTCAAGAAAAAACGTGTTAGAATAAAAAAGACAGTGATTGATTTATTTTACTAACGCATTTGTTACATATTCACATCAGTATCATGTATAATAGATAAGAAGGTAAATAATAAAATAACAAACACTGAAGCTAAAATTGTGAGATAGAGAAAAATTGTATGAGGTGAGAAATTGCAAAGCTAACAAAATTACAAACTCCTGACTGTTAAATTGTGTTAGAATCAGTTAACGATTCAAATCCTGACATAAACTGGCTTTCCCTTTTTTGTCAACTACCAAACCAACTAAACTTAACCTAGTTAACTAGCTAACTCACGACGTGGTTAGCTCTAGCCACCAAATGAACTTTTACCAACCCTCTCAACAGAAATTCCCTAGTAGAGCTACCAACTACACAAAAAGCACTAAACTTGCACATGCTTGCCTATGTTTAACTTATTAATTTGATTTTAACGATATTCTTAAATTCAGATTATTCAAATGCGTCAAGTAAAGTAACCAGTAGGAGGTTTTTTATATGAATACATTTAAAAAAATGCAAAAGTTTTATAATAAAGTCAGCAATATATCAGGAAGTGGAAAATAAAACATTTAGTTTGTTTCTTAATTTTAATGAAAAAAATTGTGATGAAATACAACAAATTCCTTGAAACACTAAATCGTACTTGGATGTATACAATCGACTTAATACTACTACACCAAACTTGAAGTAAATTAAATCCTATTTATGTCGTTCATCTTTGTGTTTATAAAGAAATGTTACAAATTTTGTTTTGAAAGGACACTGATGGCATTTGTGCCATTTATTAGCGTCCGTTTTTTCAACATGGTATTTATTTATATGGGCCGTTAAATATTCCTTGAGTTTTGCCTTATGTGGACAATATTCGCACTCGTACCACTTGATTTTTTCTTCACTCAAATGTTTACAAATGACATGGCATTTTAAACGATAGGCTTTTTTTGCCTTAAATGGACACTCATTACACTGATGCCATTTTATGTCTTCTTCATTCAAGTGTAGGTTGGTTATGTGACTTTTTAAATAATCTTTTCCTCTAGTTTTGAAAGCACATTTTTCACATTTGTACCATTTAACGTCTTTACCATCTGAGCAGATCTGATTTTCGTGGTACTTACTTATATGAATGTTTAAAAAAGAACTACGTTTGGTTTTATATGGACAGTATTCGCACTTATATGGTTTGATGTCAAAATGAACATGCACATGTTGTATTAAATTGTGCTTTACTTTCGTTTTATACGAACACTTGTCACATTCATGCCACTCTGCTTCTTCTGAATGATGATAATCTTTGTGTCTCTTTAAATTTGAAATAAATTTACTTTTGAACGGACATTTGTCACATTCGTGCCATTTAATTTCTTTGTCATTCAAATGTTGCGAAATTACATGCTTTTGTAAACTGAACGCCAATTTAGTTTTGAATGGGCAATATTCACATTCGTATCACTTACTCTTAAGGTCTTCATCGTTCGAGTTAAACGAATTTTCGGTTTTAAATGATTTACGCTTTTCAGCATTTTGTTTCTTTAAGTGCACCACTTTCTCGTGGTGTGTTAAAGATCTTTTGTCCCTTGTTTTAAATTGGCACTGTTCGCATTCGTGCCACGGTCCATGTTTTAAAATTGCGTGAGTTTTTAAATGACATTTATACCTTGTTTTGAATTGGCACTCGTCACATTGGTACCATTTACCTTCTTCGTCTTTCAAGTGTAAGTTGTTTATGTGTTTCGTTAAATAAATTTTTCTTACGGTTTTGTAAGGACATTTTTCACATTTGTGCCATTCAACATCTCGTTCGTCTAAGTGGTTTTGTTTTATGTGAATGCTTAAATTTTCTTTCCATCTGGTTTTATATGGACACTTGTCACATGAATATTGTTTGTTTAAATCATGTTTTCTCATATGACGTTTTAAATTAGTTTTATTTCTAACTTTGTATGAACACATTGCACAGTAATACCAACGTACTCCGTCAATTTTCTTGAAATTGAAACTAGATGTAGTATTTTCTTTCCACGAACTCACACTTGCTAGATTTTCTTTTTTTCCCACGCATTTTGAAGTGTGTTGAAGCCACTTCAACGACAGATTTGTTTCAAAGTCGCACTTTTTGCAAACGTAGTTTTGTACACTGAAGTCCTCAATTGATAAATCGTCCCTAAATTCGCTTTTAAGGCTATGATTTTTATTAATGTGTTGTTTGAATAGAATCGTTAATTCCGTTTTAAAATCGCAGTCTTTGCAATAAAACTCTTCAATTTTGGCGTTTTCGCACGAATATTTTTCCTGTGATGAACGGTGTCGTCGCACGTGGTTTACCATTAAGAAAATCGATGTTGTAAAATAGGGACACAGTTTGCAGTTGTGGACGTTTTTCCATGAAGATCTTCCCCATGTTCGAACAGATTCGGAATACTCCAAAGTTGACATTTTGGTTGCCTGAAACTTCTTATTAGTACACGGGAGAAGCGAATGCCACTTTGGTTACCAAAATATCCTTCCAGGACTCTTACAAAAAGCTTTAGACACTTTGATCTTTAACCTAACATTTTCACATTAAAATATCGTTTCGATAGTTCTCGTTTCAGCTAAAACACAGTAATTTTCAGTCATGTAATCATTTTCCGGCTTAAATAATTACAAAAATGATTATTTGTTGACATTTTAAAGGTTAGGTTGATTGCGGTAGTGTCAAATAGAAAATGAAAATATCCCTAGTTAGTAACTTCAGTTGGTATATATTGGCTACACTTGTTAAACGAGTCCCCTAGTTTTACGATAACAACATTTTTATTAATAATTATTATTCCAGAAACTACATGAATGGCTAATTAATATTCTAGGCGTTTTTAATAGTCTTTATTAACCAATTCGGACGTTAAATAACTACTAATAACTATATTCATACATCTCCATGAACTTAAAAAACAATAGATCGCTGCCTGCCGAAAATGCATGAAGGATGAATTGAGAAGTGTTTTAAGTGAATTTTCTGTCTATATTAAGTATAATAGTTGAGGCGGTTGATAATAAAATAACAAACACTGTGATGATAATAATAAGCATATATGTAAAGTGTAATCATGACCTGGTGACGTCATTGAGGAAACTTGATCGTTCGCATCTAGGTATTACGAAAATGTTTTTTTTGAGGCATTATATTTATTTAACGTGGAAAATAAAACGTTTAATTTTTTTTTTTAATTTCAATGAAAAAATAGTCATAAAATACATCGACTTAATACTATTATACCAAACTTAAAGTAAATTAATGTGGCGGTGATTTAAATGAGTCTTTAAATCACAAGTACGTTTCGTTTTATATGGACAATATTCGCACTGATGTGGTTTGATGTCAAAATGAACATGTACATGCTGTATTAAATTGCTTTTTATTTTCGTTTTATACGAACACTTGGCACATTCATACCACTTTGCTTCTTCTGAATGTTTATAATCTTTGTGTTTCTTTAAATCTGATTTAATTTTACTTTTGTACGGACATTTGTCACATTCGTGCCATTTAATTTCTTTGTCATCCAAATGTAGAGAAATTACATGTTTTTGTAAATACGACCCCGATTTAGTTTTGAATGGACAATATTTACATTTGTACAACTTATTTTTGTTTAGCAGACACTCATTGCATTCTTTTACGGTTTTAAATGTACACTTTTTACACTTCCACCATTCGGAATTTTGTTTCTTTAAATGTTTCACATTCTCATGGTGTCTTAAAGATCTATTGTCCCTTGTTTTAAATTGGCACAGTTCGCATTCGTATCACGTAATATGTTTTAAAATTGCGTGAGTCTTTAAATGGCATTTATACCTAGTTTTGAATTGACACTCGTTGCATTGGTGCCATTCACCTTGTTCTTCTTTCAAGTGTAAGTTGTTTATGTGTCTAGTTAAATGACTTTTGTTTACAGTTTTGTAGGGACATTTTTCACATTTGTGCCATTCAACATCTCGTTCGTCTAAGTGGTTTCGTTTTATGTGATCTTTTAAATTTCCTTTATAACTGGTTTTAAATGGACACTTATCACACGCATGTTGTTTGTTTGAATCATGTTTTCTCATATGACGATTTAAATTAGCTTTATCTCTAGATTTGTAGGAACATAGCGCACAGTAATACCAACGTATTCCGTCAATTTTCTTGAAATTGAAACTATGTGTGGTATTTTCTTTTGAAGAACTCACATTTGTTAGATTTTCTTTTTTTCCCATGCATAATAAATGCTTTTGTTTTATGTGACTGCTTAGATTTCCTTTCCATTTGGTTTGAAATGGACACTCATCACACGCATATTGTTTGTTTAAATCATGTTTACTCATATGACATTTTAACTTAGCTTTATTTCTAACTTTGTAGGAACATTTCGTACAATAATACCAACGTTTTCCGTCAATTTTCTTGAAATGGAAAATATTTGTATTCTCTTTGACAGAACTCACACTTGCTAGATTTTCTTTTTTTCCCGTGCATTCTGAAGTATGTTGAAGCCACTTCAACGACAAATTTGTTTCAAAATCGCACTTTTCGCAAACGTAATTTCGTACACTGAAGTCCTGCAGTAATAAATCGTCTCCAGATTCGCCTTTAACACTGTGATTTTTATTAATGTGTTGTTTGAACAGAATCGTTAGTTCCGTTTTAAAATCGCAGTCTTTACAATGGTACACTTCGATTTTGGCGTTTTCGCACGTATATTTTTCCTGAGATGAACGGTGGCGTCGCACGTGGTTCACCATTAAGAAAAGCGACGTTGTAAAATAGGGACACAGTTTACAGTTGTGGACGTTTCTCCATGAAGATCTTCCCAATCCTCGAAGAGATTCATAATACTCCAAAGTTGACATTTTAATTGTTTAAAACCGTCTTAATACACAGGCAAACGCAACTTCGGTTGCCTAGATCTTCAGAAATGATCGTCGGTGGTTGTCGTTTTAGAAATTGTGATCTTCTGATCAAAATTCTAACCTGACTTTTTTTTGGAAAAATACAATTCGAGGCGAATTAGACTCTGATAAGTGGGCGATTGTTCTCGTTTCACCTAAAACACAAAAAATCGATATTAAATATGCTAATTTTCTAACTTAAATAATTACGAAAATTATTATTTGTTCACATTTTAAAGGTTAGGTTGATTGAGATGGTCAAATTGAAAATATCCCTAGTTAGTAACTTCAGTTGGTATATATTGGCAACGCTTGTTAAATGAGTCCACTAGTTTTCCGATAACAACATTTTTATTAATAATATTATTCCAGAAACTACCCTTAATGGCTAGTTAACAATCTCGGCGTTTTGTAATAGTGTTCATTAACTAATTCGGTCGTTAAATAACTACTAATAACTATATTCATTCTTTTGGCTCACATCTCCATGAACTGAGAACTGTTTTAAATGAATTTTCTGTCTATATTGAAAGTATAAGAAGCTAAATAATAAAATAACAAACACTGAAGCTGAAATTGTGAGACAGAGAAAGAGAAATTGCAAAGTTAACAAAATTACAAGTGCTTTATCTAAACAAACTGTTAAATTGTGTTAGAACCAGTTAACGATTCAAATCCTGACATAAACGACAAAACAAATTTACACCACATGTTAGGGCTTTCCCTTTTTTGTCAACTGCCAAACCAACTAAACTTAACCTAGTTAACATAAAGTCACTAGATCTACTATTACTTTTAGAAAGTACGGCAAACTGCCTGTGGTCGGAATTCGACAGAGAGGAACCTAACCTATGTGTTAAACAAAGATAGCGCGAGGCTAGTAATTTTCGCTATCTGTCAACGAAAGGTTGATGTGTTTACGATTTGAGGTTACGACAGACTGTACTAGAATTATTGAGTTAACGGACCGGAAAGAACACTATTCCAGTCCCAAAGTAACTCCAGCCCTATTCAACGAGAAAGTGTCACCGGTAACCAGCAAACAGTCGTGGAAGACGTGTTACCACCAAGGCAATTGACGGCCAAATGACAGTAACAGGATCGCCATACTGGAAGCAAAAAATACCTGCTGTCGAAAAGACGGAGCATAACAAGGACACAGATATATTTCTATTTCATAAAAGTTACTAATTGCCACACATTTCAAGATCGAGTCACATTAAGTTAACAAGCTAACTCACCACGTGGTTTCACTCACACCAAACAAACTGAAACAAACCGACGTGACGCCTCTCCCCCTCTATCCCCCAAATCAACTTCTACCAACCCTCTGAACAGAAATTCCCTAGTAGTACTACCAACCACCCAAAAAGCACTAAATTTGCACATTGTTGCCTATGTTTAACATGTGAAATAAAACATTTAATTTGTTTCTTAATTTTAATGAAAAAATTATGATGAAATACAACAAATTCCTTGAAACACTAAATCGTACTTGGATATATACAATCGACTTAATACTACTACACCAAACTTAAATTAAAATTTAAATTAAGTCCTATTTATGTCGTTCATCTTTGTGTTTATAAAGAAATGTTACAAATTTTGTTTTGAAAGGACACTGATCGCATTTGTGCCATTTATTAGCGTCCGTTTTTTCAACATGATATTTATTTATATGGGCCGTTAAATATTCCTTGAGTTTCGCCTTATGTGGACAATATTCGCACTCGTACCATTTGATTTTTTCCTCATTCAAATGTTTACAAATGACATGACATTTTAAACGATAGGCTTTTTTTGCCTTAAATGGACACTCATTACACTGATGCCATTTAATCTCTTCTTCATTCAAATGTAAGTTGGTTATGTGACTTTTTAAATAATCTTTTCCTCTAGTTTTGAAAGGGCATTTATCACACTTGTACCATTTAACATCTTTACCATCTGAACAGATCTGATTTTCGTGGTACTTACTTATATGAATGTTTAAAAAAGAACTACGTTTGGTTTTATATGGACAGTATTCGCACTTATATGGTTTGATGTCAAAATGAACATGTACATGCTGTATTAAATTGTGCTTTACTTTCGTTTTATACGAACACTTGTCACATTCATGCCACTCTGCTTCTTCTGAATGATGATAATCTTTGTGTCTCTTTAAATTTGAAATAAATTTACTTTTGAACGGACATTTGTCACATTCGTGCCATTTAATTTCTTTGTCATTCAAATGTTGCGAAACTACATGCTTTTGTAAACTGAACGCCAATTTAGTTTTGAATGGGCAATATTCACATTCGTAGCACTTACTCTTAAGGTCTTCATCGTTCGAGTTAAACGAATTTTCGGTTTTAAATGATTTACGCTTTTCAGCATTTTGTTTCTTTAAATGCACCACTTTCTCGTGGTGTGTTAAAGATCTTTTGTCCCTTGTTTTAAATTGGCACTGTTCGCATTCGTGCCACGGTCCATGTTTTAAAATTGCGTGAGTTTTTAAATGACATTTATACCTTGTTTTGAATTGGCACTCGTCACATTGGTACCATTTACCTTCTTCGTCTTTCAAGTGTAAGTTGTTTATGTGTTTCGTTAAATAAATTTTTCTTACGGTTTTGTAAGGACATTTTTCACATTTGTGCCATTCAACATCTCGTTCGTCTAAGTGGTTTTGTTTTATGTGAATGCTTAAATTTTCTTTCCATCTGGTTTTATATGGACACTTGTCACATGAATATTGTTTGTTTAAATCATGTTTTCTCATATGACGTTTTAAATTAGTTTTATTTCTAACTTTGTATGAACACATTGCACAGTAATACCAACGTACTCCGTCAATTTTCTTGAAATTGAAACTAGATGTAGTATTTTCTTTCCACGAACTCACACTTGCTAGATTTTCTTTTTTTCCCACGCATTTTGAAGTATGTTGAAGCCACTTCAACGATAGATTTGTTTCAAAGTCGCACTTTTTGCAAACGTAGTTTTGTACACTGAAGTCCTCAATTGATAAATCGTCCCTAAATTCGCTTTTAAGGCTATGATTTTTATTAATGTGTTGTTTGAATAGAATCGTTAATTCCGTTTTAAAATCGCAGTCTTTGCAATAAAACTCTTCAATTTTGGCGTTTTCGCACGTATATTTTTCCTGTGATGAACGGTGTCGTCGCACGTGGTTTACCATTAAGAAAACCGATGTTGTAAAATAGGGACACAGTTTGCAGTTGTGGACGTTTTTCCATGAAGATCTTCCCCATGCTCGAACAGATTCGGAATACTCCAAAGTTGACATTCTGGTTGCCTGAAACCTCTTATTAGTACACGGGGAAAGCGAATGCCACTTTGGTTACCAAAATATCGTTCCAGGACTCTTACAAAAAGCTTTAGACACTTTAATCTTTAACCTAACATTTTCACATTAAAATTTATTTTCGATAGTTCTCGTTTCAGCTAAAACACAGTAATTTTCACTACATGTAATCATTTTCCGGCTTAAATAATTACAAAAATGATTATTTGTTGACATTTTAAAGGTTAGGTTGATTGAGGTAGTCTCAAATAGAAAATGAAAATATCCCTAGTTAGTAACTTCAGTTGGTATATATTGGCTACACTTGTTAAACGAGTCCCCTAGTTTTACGATAACAACATTTTTATTAATAATATTATTCCAGAAACTACACTTATTAATGGCTAGTTAACAATCTCGGCGTTTTTAATAGTCTTTATTAACCAATTCGGTCGTTAAATAACCACTAATAACTATATTCATACATCTCCATGAACTTAAAAAACAATAGATCGCTGCCTACCGAAAATGCATGAAGCATGAATTGAGAAGTGTTTTAAGTGAATTTTCTGTCTATATTAAGTAACAAACACTGTGATGATAATAATAAGCATATATGTAAAGTGTAATCATGACCTGGTGACGTCATTGAGGAAACTTGATCGTTCGCATCTACGTATTACGAAAATGTTTTTTTTAAGGCATTATATTTATTTAACGTGGAAAATAAAACGTTTAATTTTTTCTTAATTCTAATGAAAAAATAGTCATAAAATACATCGACTTAATACTATTACACCAAACTTAAAGTAAATTAATGTGGCGGTGATTTAAATGAGTCTTTAAATCACAAGTACGTTTCGTTTTATATGGACAATATTCGCACTGATATGGTTTGATATCAAAATGAACATGTACATGCTGTATTAAATTGCTTTTTATTTTCGTTTTATACGAACACTTGGCACATTCATACCACTTTGCTTCTTCTGAATGTTTATAATCTTTGTGTTTCTTTAAATCTGATTTAATTTTACTTTTGTACGGACATTTGTCACATTCGTGCCATTTAATTTCTTTGTCATCCAAATGTAGAGAAATTACATGTTTTTGTAAATACGACACCGATGTAGTTTTGAATGGGCAATATTTACATTTGTACAACTTATTTTTGTTCAGCAGACACTCATTGTATTCTTTTACGGTTTTAAATGAACACTTTTTACACTTCCACCATTCGGAATTTTGTTTCTTTAAATGTTTCACATTCTCATGGTGTCTTAAAGATCTATTGTCCCTTGTTTTAAATTGGCACTGTTCGCATTCGTATCACGTAATATGTTTTAAAATTGCATGAGTCTTTAAATGGCATTTATACCTAGTTTTGAATTGACACTCGTTGCATTGGTGCCATTCACCTTGTTCTTCTTTCAAGTGTAAGTTGTTTATGTGTCTAGTTAAATGACTTTTGTTTACAGTTTTGTAGGGACATTTTTCACATTTGTGCCATTCAACATCTCGTTCGTCTAAGTGGTTTCGTTTTATGTGATCTCTTAAATTTCCTTTATAACTGGTTTTAAATGGACACTTATCACACGCATGTTGTTTGTTTGAATCATGTTTTCTCATATGACGATTTAAATTAGCTTTATCTCTAGATTTGTAGGAACATAGCGCACAGTAATACCAACGTATTCCGTCAATTTTCTTGAAATTGAAACTATGTGTGGTATTTTCTTTTGAAGAACTCACATTTGTTAGATTTTCTTTTTTTCCCATGCATAATAAATGCTTTTGTTTTATGAGACTGCTTAGATTTCCTTTCCATTTGGTTTTAAATGGACACTCATCACACGCATATTGTTTGTTTAAATCATGTTTACTCATATGACATTTTAACTTAGCTTTATTTCTAACTTTGTAGGAACATTTCGTACAATAATACCAACGTTTTCCGTCAATTTTCTTGAAATGGAAAATATTTGTATTCTCTTTGACAGAACTCACACTTGCTAGATTTTCTTTTTTTCCCGTGCATTCTGAAGTATGTTGAAGCCACTTTAACAACAGATTTGTTTCGAAATCGCACTTTTCGCAAACGTACGTCTGCACACTGAAGTCCTGCAGTGATAAATCGTCCCTAGACTCGTTTTTAACACCGTGATTTTTATTAATGTGTTGTTTGAACAGAATCGTCAGTTCCGTTTTAAAATCGCAGTCTTTACAATGATACTCTTCAATTTTTGCCTTTTCGCACGTATATTTTTCCTGAGATAAACGGTGTCGTCTCGCGTGGTTCACCATAAGGAAAAGCGATGTTGTAAAATAGGGACACAGTTTACAGTTGTGGACGTTTTTCCATGAAGATCTTCCCAATGTTCGAAGAGATTTGGAAAACTCCAAAGTTGACATTTTGGTTGCCTGAAACGTCTTATTAGTATTACACTGGAGAAACAAATGCAACTTTGGTTACCAAAAAAATTCTTCCAGGACTCTTACAAAAAGATTTTGAAACTTTAATCTTTAACCCAACATTTTTACGTCAAAAATGGCCAAATAGAAAATATCCCTAGTTAGTAACTTCAGTTGCTATATATTGGGTACACTTGTTAAACCAGTTTATATTTTGCCTTTTTTTCTTAGTATACCTAGTATTTTTTAAACAACACAATACTCAAAAACATGTTCTTCATTTCTTGCAAAGAAATAAGAATTTTGCAGTTAAGATTCGCCCCCTTGGCTCACGGCGAATAAAAAAATCATCCCAATTTACATTGGGCGGGTGGGCGGGGCTAAATTATGCCTGTTTGTTTTATTAATATTTGTAGACTTTTTTTCACAATATGAAACTTAAAACATATGTCCTTGCAAAAATGTAGTATTTTAACCATGTTTTAAGTTTCTTGTTATGAAAAGATGGCTACGATATTAAGAAAAAAAGGCAAAATATAAGCCCCGCCCACCCACCCTATCTCAATTCTGATGAATTTTTTTTATTCGTTGTAAGCCGAGGGGTGGAGCTTAATTGAAAATACTAATTTTTCTACGAGAAATTGCCATGTGTAATATGTTATATGTGTTATACTAAGAAAACTAAATGTATGAATTAAAAAAAAAAACAGAAATCTATATTTCCCTATACAAATTGACCATTTTAAACAAGTTTTAAGTTTCTTGTTGTGAAAAGATGACTACACATATTAAAAAAAAAGAAAAATGTAGACCCGCCCACCCGCCCTATCTCAATTGTGATGATTTTTTTATTGGCCGTAAACCAAGGGGACGGAGCTTAACTGCAAAATACTTATTTATTTACAAGAAATTAAAAAATGTTTTTGAGTATCGTGTTGTTTAAAGAATACTAGGTATATTAAGAAAGAAGGGGAAAATATGAACCCCGCCCACCCACCCCATCTCGATTGTGATGATTTATTTTTATTCCATCAATTTTTTAAGGTAGATTATCATCAACAATCTGAATTTTGAATAACTTTTAAATTTATACTGCATGTTGTAATTTTCCGATGGAAATAAAGATTAAAACTTACTATTGTATGTTGGTAAAATAACAAATATCCCTGAAACATTTAGTTGTTTATTTCTTTAAAATTTTATTAGTTAAAAAATAGTCACAAAATACAAAAATGCTGATACAAATTTTGTATTTATAAAAATTTGAGTAATTTTGTTTTCTTAATATGCGATCTTCATTTCATAACAAAATACTTAAAACATGTTTAAAATGGTAAATTTTTATCGATAAATATCGATTTTGAAATTAAGCTCCTCCTTCCACTCTAAACAAACGAATGAAAAATTCGCTGGCATTGCTTTTAGACTTCAAAATTGTCATTTATAAACTTAGTTACCAAGTTGCCGTTGATGGTAACTTTGATGTTCAACTTTCGCCGTATTTAAAGAGGTTGTAAAAGAAAAGTGGTGGATTTACTACAAACATTTACCATTTTAGGCATGTTTTAAGTTTCTTGTTGTCGAATTAAGTCTACACATATTACGAAAAACAGGCAAAATATAGCCCCGCCCACCCGCCCTATCTCAATTCTGATGATTTTTTATTCGTCGTGAGCCAAGAGGGCGGAGCTTAAGTGCAATATCCTTATTTCTCTATGACAAATTAAAAACATCTTTTTGAGTATCGTGTTGTTCAAAGGATTCTGTGTATATTAAGAAAAAAATAAAGACAAAGATTAGGCCCAACCCATACCCGCCTCGATCTCAGCTGTCAATTGTGATGAATTTTTCATTCGTTGTCATATCGATAGGCGGGGCTTAATTGCAAGATTCATATTTGTCTAGAATAATTCACCATTTTAACCACGTTTTAAGTTTCTTGTTCTGAAAAAACTACCACGTATATTGAGAAAAAAGGAAAAATATAAGCCCCACCCACCCACCCTATCTCAATTCTGGTCATTTTTTTTATTCGTCGTAAACCGAGGGGCAGAGCCTAATTGCAAAATCCACATTTCCGTACAAAAATTTACCTTTTTAAATGTGTTTCAAGTTTTCAAGAATAAAAAAATCATCACAATTGAGATTGGGTGGGTGGGCGGGGTTTATATTTTGCCCTTTTTTCTTAGTATACTTAGCATTCTTTGAAAAACATGATACTCAAAAACATGCCGTTGATAGTAACTTTGAGGTTCAACTTTTGCCGTATTTAAAGGGATTGTAGAAAAAAAGTGGAGGATTTAAGTTGATTACTACAAATTTACAATTTTAGACAATTTTCTTGTGATCGAAATAAGTCTACACATATTAAGAAAAAAAAGGCAAAATGTAGCCCCGCCCACCCACCCTATCTCGATTGTGATGATTTTTTTTATTCGTCGTGAGCCAAGGGGGCGGAGCGTAACTGCAAACTCCTCTATGAGAAATTAAAAACATAGTTTTGAGTATGGTGTTGTTTAAAGAATACTAGGTATATTAAGAAAGAAAGGGAAAATATAAACCCCGCCCACCCACCCCATCTCGATTATGATGATTTATTTTTATTCTATCAATTTTTCACGGTAAATTGTCATCAACAGACATGAATTTTTCGTGTATTTTATTGAATAACTTTTTAAGTATCGATTTTAGAATATTGGAGCTTTTGATTGTTTAGAAAAATCGATACTTAAAAAGTTCTTCAATAAAATACACGAAAAATTATATTTTTGATGATTATCTACCTTGAAAAATTGATAGCATAAAAATAAATCATCACAATTGAGACCGGGTGGGTGGGCGGGGTTTATATTTTGTCTTTTTTTGTTAATATACATGGAACTCTTTGAACAACACGATACTCAAGAACATGTTTTTAATTTCTTGTAAATAAATAAGTATTTTGCAGTTAAGCTCCGCCCCCTTGGTTTACGGCCAATAAAAAAATCATCACAATTGAGATAGGGCGGGTGGGCGGGCTTACGGTTTGCATTTTTGTTTTAATATGTGTAGACTTCTTTTCACAACACGAAACTTAAAACATGTTTAAAATGGAAAATTTGTATTAGTAAATATCGACTTTGCAAAAAGGTAAAATATAAGGTCCGCCCACCCACCCTACCTCAATTCTAATGATTTTTTTATTCGTTGTGAGCCAAGGGGGCGGAGCGCAACTGCAAAATCCTTGTTTCTCAATGAGAAATTAAAAACATGGTTTTGAGTATGGTGTTGTTTAAAGAACACTAGGTATATTAAAAAAGAAGGGGAAAATATGAAACCCGCCCACCCACCCCATCTCGATTGTGATGATTTATTTTTATTCCATCAATTTTTTAAGGTACATTATCATCAACAAATCTGAATTTTGAGTAACTTTTAAATTTATACTGCATGTTGTAATTTTCCGATGGAAATAAAGATTAAAACTTACTATTTTATGTTGGTAAAACAACAAATATCCCTGAAACATTTAATTGTCTATTTCTTTAAAATTTTATTATTTAAAAAATAGTCATAAAATACAAAAATGCTGATACAAATTTTGTATTTATAAAAATTTGAGTAATTTTGTTTTCTTAATATACGAACTTCATTTCATAACAAAATACTTAAAACATGTTTAAAATGGTAAATTTTTATTGATAAATATCGATTTTTAAATTAAGCTCCTCCTTCCACTCTGACAACGAATGAAAAATTCGCTGACATTTTGCTTTTAGAGCTGAAAATTGTCATTTATAAACTTCGTTGCCAAGTTGCCGTTGATAGTAACTTTGACGCTCAACTTTTGCCGTATTTAAAGGGGTTGTAGAAGAAAAGCGGAGGATTTAAGTTGATTACTATAAAAATTTACAATTTTAAACATGTTTTAAGTTTCTTGTGGTCGAAATAAGTCTACATATATTAAGAAAAAAACAGGCAAAATGTAGGACCGCCCACCCACCCTATCTCGATTGTGATGATTTTTTTTTAATTCGTCGTGAGCCAAGGGGGCGGAGCTTAACTGCAAAATCCTTCTTTCTCTATGAGAAATTAAAAACATAGTTTTGAGTATGGTGCTGTTTAAAGAATACTAGGTATATTAAAAAAGAAAGGGAAAATATAAACCCCGCCCACCCACCCCATCTCGATTATGATGATTTATTTTTATTCTATCAATTTTTCACGGTAAATTGTCATCAACAGACATGAATTTTTCGTGTATTTTATTGAATAACTTTTTAAGTATCGATTTTAGAATATTGGAAGCTTTTGATTTTTTAGAAAAATCGATACTTAAAAAGTTCTTCAATAAAATACACGAAAAATTATATTAGTTGATGATAATCTACCTTGAAAAATTGATAGAATAAAAATAAATCATCACAATCGAGATGGGGTGGGTGGGCGGGGTTTATATTTTGCCTTTTTTTCTTAATATACCTAGTATTCTTTAAACAACACCATACTCAAAAACATTTTTTAATTTCTTATAAAGAAAAAAATATTATGCAGTTAAGCTCCGCCCCCTTGGCGCACGGCGAATAATAACTAGCGACTTTGATGTTCAACTTTTGCCGTATTTAAAGAGGTTGTAGAAGAAAAGTGGTGGATTTACTACAAATATTTACCATTTTAGACATTTTTTAAGTTTCTAAAAGGCATAATATAGCCCCGCCCACCCGCCCCATCTCAATTGTGATGATTTTTTTATTCGTCGTGAGCCAAGGGGGCGGCGCTTCACTGCAAAATCCTTATTTCTCTACGAGAAATTAAAAACATGTTTTTCAGTATCGTATCATCTTTTCATAACAAAACACTTCAAACGTGTTTAGGATGGTAAATTTTTGTAGAGAAATATCGGTTATCCACTTTTAAACCTGTATTTATTTTTAAGCAAAATTTTTTTGTTTCTGTTTACATGTATGTGCAGTTTAAAGATTTTTTTCCGTAAACTCACATCAAAATATTTACCGTTTTCTTTTGAATGTAATATCGGTCAATTTTTGCTATGAAATCGGAGACTGTGTATACTTGGTTGCATAATTTAATTTTTACTTTTTATTTTCTATAGAATTTGATCATTAAAAAATGACTAACATAAAATAAATTTGTTTCACTATTTGTTTTACAAGTTTTAATTATTTTTATCTGTTTATGTATTTCATCAATTTTTTTGCATCTAAATTTAGAAATATTAATTAGAAAATCTGGCGAAAGGAATGAATCTTATTTCTGTAAGATCCTTAGACAACAAAATATGACTACGCCACTGACGGCTTTCCCCACCTGTCACCATGAACTTAAAAAACGATAGATCGCTGCTTTAATATTAAGATGAAAATGCATGAAATACTTATATTCAATATAATAGATAAACAGGTGAATAACAATAATATAACAAACACTGCGATAATAATACACATACATGTAACGTACAATCATGACCTGAAGACGTCATACACTTAGTTTCTTTCTTAATTTTAACGAAGAAATAGTCATAAAATACACATACAACAAATTCCTTGAAACACACAATTATACAATAATTATCAGCTTAATGCTACTACACCAAACTTAAAGTAAATTCCTATTTATGTCGTTCTTCTTTGTGTTTATCCATAAATGATATAATTTTAGTTTTGTACTGGCACTGATCGCATTTGTGCCATTTATTATCGTCCGTTTTTTCCAAATGGCATCTATTCATATGATTCGTTAAATAGTTCTGGAGTTTCGTCTTATGTGGACAATATTCGCACTTGTACCACTTGATTTTTTCTTCATTCAAATGTTTACAAATTTCATGACGTTTCACTTGAGACAAGTGTTTAGCCTTAAATGAACACTCATTGCATTGGTGCCATTGGATGTCTTCTTCATTCACGTGTAAATTGGTTATGTGGCTTCTTAAACCACTTTTTCTTCTAGTTTTGAAATAACATTTTTCACACTTGTACCATTTCAGATTTTTACCATCCACTTGTACAGAAATTACATGCTGTTGTAAATACGACCCCCTTTGTATCTTTAAATGGTTTACATTCATGTGTTTTCTTAAAGATCTTTTGTCCTCGGTTTTATAATCGCACTGTTCGCATTTATAACAGGTAATTTTGTCTTCTTCTGGATGTTTTGAAATTACGTGATCCTTTAAATTACCTTTGTACCTACTTTTGTAAAGACACTGCTTGCATCGGTACCATTTACCTCCCTCTTCTTCTTCTTCTTTTTCTTTTTTCAAGTGTAAGTTGGTTATGTGCGTAGTTAAATGGTTTTTTATCATAGTTTTGAAAGGACATTTTTCACATTTATACCATTCGATATCTTTACCATCAGGATGGATCTGATTTATATGAGTCTTTGAATCATTTTCTTTCTTTAAATGGATCACATTTACGCGATGTGTTAAAGATGTTTTATCCTTAGTTATTTTTTCTTTGTCTGGATGTTTTAAAATTACGTGATCCTTTAAATTATCTTTATACCTACTTTTGTATAGACACTCATTGCATTGGTACCATTTACCTTCATCACCTTTCAAGTGTAAGTTATTTAAGTGTCTAATGAAATAACTTTTTATTATGGTTTTGAATGGGCACTTTTCACATTTGTGCCACTGAACATCTCCTTCGTCGAAGTGTTTTCGTTTTATATGATTTCTTAAAGTTATACTCCATCTGGTTTTAAACGGACACTTATCACACGCATACCGTTTGTTTACGTCATGTTTTCCCACATGACATTTTATCTTAGCTTTATTTCTAACTTTGTAGCTACACTTCGTACAATAATACCAACTTTTTCCGTCAATTTTCTCGAAACGGAAAATATTTGTATTCTCTTTCACACTTTGGAGATTTTCTTTTTTTCCCCTGCAATCTGAAGTATGGTCGCCCCATTTTAACAACAGATTTGTTTCGAAACCGCACATTTCGCAAACGTAGTTTTGTACACTGAAGTTCTCAATTGATAAATCGTCCCCAGGTTCGCTTTTAATGCTGTGATATTTATTAATGTGTTGTTTGAACAGAATCGTTAGGTCCGTTCTAAAATCGCATTCTTTGCAATAATACTCTTCAATTTTGGCGTTTTCGCAGGTATAAATTTCCTGAGATGAACGGTGTCGTCGCACGTGGTTCACCATAAAGAAAACCGAGGTTGTATAATAGGGACACTGTTTACAGTTGTGGACGTTTTTCCAGGAAGATCTGCCCCAGGCCCGAAGAGATTCGGAGTACTCCAAAGTTGACATTTTGGTTGCTTAAAACCGTTTTACAAGCAAATGCAACTTCGGTTACCTGGATTTCCAGAAATGAGCGTCTGTGATTGTCGGTTTCGAAATTTTGATTTTCTGACCACAATTCTAACCTAACATGTTTACGTCAAAAACGATGATTTTTGAAAAATAAGTGCGTTTCACCTAAAACACAAAAAAACAAAGTAAATATGATAATTTTCCAGTAGAAATAATTATAAAAATTATTACTTGTTCAGATTGCAAACAACCAACACACACCAATTATTGATTTATGTTGGTAAAATAACAAATATCCCTAGCCGGAATTGAATTATGTTATTATTTTCTAATTTTTTACTCAAACGTTGCTTATAATGGCTAGATAATAATGTCGGCGTTTTTTAATACGCTTTATTAACCAACTCGTCCGTTTAATAACTGTGTATCCACATTTATGGACAACCTATCTATGAAATTAAAAAGTAAATAGATGGCTGCTTACTCAAAATGAAACCGTACTGGTGATTCTAGAAAATGGTAAGACTTTAAATTTAGAGAAGAGTGAGCTTTCACAGTTCCAGTTTTTCTAAAATTAATAGACTCCAAGAGTCTTTAAATCTTTGAAATTTTTGGAATCTCTGGAACCTTTAGAATCTCTGAGATGTATAAGATGATTGAAACCTTTTAAATATTTCAAACATCAAGGGTCATCAAAATTGATTGAGAGAGTTGGTAAACCTGAACTTGAATTAAGTTGTTTTATCTTAGCTAGTTGCTAAGATAAGACTGATTTTGGCAAATCACATACCCTCCAAGAAAAGAGAGGGTGGGTGGGCGGGGCTAGTATTTGACAAGATAAAACTGACTTTGGCATTTTTGACATTTTCGACCAATTTTCGAAATACTTGAAAATATTTTTTTGCAGATTTCGACATCCAGAAGTCATTTTCGGCTTCGTTTCTTCGGAAATTCCTACCGCGTTTCCAAAATCGCCAACTGAAATACAGCAATTTTTACAGTTCCGTCAAAACAGCTCGGTATAAAAATTTTGCAGATGAAAAATGAAATAATTATTAATTTCTGTTTCATAAAATATAATTATTTTAAGAATGTATTTTGTGGTTTTAAATGTTTAAGATTTGTTTATTTGAGACAATAGAAAGGTCAGAACAGAACAGCTCACGTTAGGTCAACTCAACAGAAGAACATAATTAGCCCCTCCCACCCACCCTGTCTCTATTTTAGTGATTGATTTTATCCGGTCTGAATGAAATGAATGATCTTATAATAATACTAAATAGAAATAAAATTGCTCGTTAGAATAAGAAGAGGGTGGGGATGGTATTTGCTAAGATAAGACTAATTTTGGCAAATCAAATACCTTCCAAGACACTAGAGGGTGGGTGGGCGGGGCTAGTATTTGATAAGATGACACACTAATTTTGGCACTTTTAGTTGAACTCATTTTCTTGTAGATGTCGATATCCAGTTTTTGAGTTGATTTTAAGACCCCGGTTTTTTTTTTGAAAAATTTAAAACAATCTTGAGGTATTCCTGTTTGGATAAGTCATTTGCCAAAATCACTCTTATTTTAGCAGGCGTTAGCCCCGCCCACCCACCCTCTGTTTTCTTAAAGGATATTTCCTTTGCCAAAATCAAAACTTTAAGACTTTTAAAATTTTTTGAAAGGTTTGAGACTTTTTAAATATTTCAAACATTTGGAAACTTTGGAATTTTTAGAATATTTACAATCTTAAGATCGTGTAAACTTTTGAAATTTTGAGATTCAATATTTTTGTATTTTCTTTTAATTTTTGGGGATTTTCGTAATTTACAAAATTTTCAAAATTTCCAGAATGTTCAGATTTTCCAAATTAGCCCAATTTTTCAGATTTTTCTAAGTACACATAACAGCCAGAATTGCCACATCTTCCAAAATTTCTAAAATTATCAGACTCCAGTTATAACAGAATAAAAAAATCATCAAATTTGAGATAGGGCCGGTGGGCGGGGCTTACATTGCCTTTTTTTTTTCTTAACATCTTAGCCATCTTTTCACAACAAGAAACTTAGAACAAGGTCAAAATAGTACATTTTTGCAAGGAAATATGGATTTTGCAATAATGGGGCGGAGCCTAATTGCAAAATCGATATTTGTTTACACAAATTTTCCACTTTAAACATGTTTGAAGTTTCATGTTCTGAAAAGAAGTGTACACATATTAAAACAAGAAGCAAAATGTAGGCCCGCCCACCCGCCCTGTCTCGATTGTGATGATTTTTTTATTCGCCGTGAACCAAGAGGGCGGAGCTTAACTGCAAAATACTTATTTCTTTACAAGAAATTAAAAACATGTTTTTTAGTTTTGTGTTGTTCAAAGAATGCTATGAATATTAAGAAAAAAGGGCTAAATATGAACCCCACCCACCCACCCTGTCTCAATTGTAATGATTTTTTTATTTTTAGAAACTTAAAACGCGTTTAAAGTGGTAAATTTTTGTAAGGAAATAAGGATTTTGCAGTTTGGCTTTGCCCCTCGGTTTACGACGAATAAAAAAAAATCATCAGAATTGAGACGGGGTGGGTGGGTGGGGCTTATATTTTGCCTGTTTTCTCAATATACGTGGTCGTTTTTTCATTACAAGGAACTTAAAACATGGTTAAAATGGTAAATTCTTGAAGACAAATATGGATATTTCATTTAAGCCCCGCCCCTCGATCTGACAACTAATGAAAAATTCATCACGATTGAGATGCAGACGGATGGGTGGAGCTTCTCTTTTCGTTTTCTTTTTTAATTAATACATTTAGTTTTCTTTATATAACACGATTACTTGAGAACATATTTCATATGGTAATTTCTCGTAGAAAAATAAGGACTTTACAATTAAGCTCCGCCCTTTGGCTTACGACCAATAAAAATATCATCAGAATCGAGATAGGGTGGGTGGGCGGGGCTTATATTTTGCTTTGAGATTCAATATTTTTTTCTTTTTTTTTTAATTTTTGGGAATTTTCGTAATTTGCATAATTTTCAAAATATCCAGAATTTCCACATTTTCCAAAATCTCTAAAATTATCAAGCTCCAGTTATACCAAAATTTTGAAACTCAATATTATCCAATATTTTCAAGATTTCTAGGTCTACCACACTTTTGCCACACTTTAAAATTTTTTCAGATTTTCTAAAATTTATAGATCTCAAGAGTCTAAGTCTTTGGAATTTTTGGAATCTCTGGAATCTTTACAGTCTCCAAGATTTATAAAATAGTAATTAGGGTGTTCAAGGCCTTCAGTGCTTTTAGGATTTATAAAAATTAAAGAAAGCATTTTTCCGATCTTTACGATTTTTGTTTTCTTTAAAGTCTTTGGAATTTTTAAAATCTTTGGTATATTAGAGTTCACGCGATTTTTACGAGTTTTAGAATTTTTGGCCTTTTGGAATTTCTCAAGAACCTTTAGAATCTTTCAAGTAATCGAAACAGAATTTTAGCTTTTGACCCCTTAGAGTCCTTAGAGTCTTTAGACCCTTCCCAATCTATGGAAATTTTGAACACTTTGGGAATTACTAGGAGTTTGATAAAGCCTAAAATTTCTGCAATTTCTAGAACTTTAGTTTATTTAGAGGATTTATTAAGCAAAAGTTTTAGATGACGTCATCAATTTTTTGGAAGGGGCCAAACGAATAAATTTGCTTAACGATTTACCATGATTACAATAGCTTAAAATAAAAGATTTAGTTACTTTTTTAACTTAAAAATTATAATGAAAAAGTAGTGACAAGATACAAAAAGTGCCGAAAAAAATATTTTAAGGCTACTACTTAGATTATTTAACATTTTTACCATCTGGATAGATCTGATTTATATGACGGTGACTTACATGAGTCTTTAAATAACAACTACGTTTCGTTTTATACGGACAATATTCACACTGATACGGTCTGTAGTCAAAATGAACGGTTACATGTTGCACTAAATAGCTTTTTACTTTAGTTTTATACGAACACTTCGCACATTCATACCATTTTGCTTCTTCTGAATGATTAACATCTCTGTGTTTCTTTAACTCTGAATTAAATTTACTTCTGTACGGACATTTGTCACACTCGTGCCATTTAATTTCTTTGTCATCCAAATGTTGCGAAGTCACATGGTATTGTAAACTTAACCTCCATTTAGTTTTGAATGGACAATAGTTACATTCGTAGCACTTATTTTTGTTGAGCAGACACTCACTGCATTCTTTTGACAAAGTTACCGGTTTAAATGAACACTTTTTACACTTCCACCATTCGGAATTTTGTTTTTTTAAATGGATCACGTTCACGTGGTGTCTTAAAGATCTTTTAGTCCTAGTTTTAAATTGGCACTGTTCGCATTCGTACCACGTAACTTTTTCTTCATCCACATGTTTTAAAGTTGCGTGACTTTTTAAATGATATGTATACCTAGTTTTGTACGGACACTCATTGCATTGATACCATTTACCTTCTTCGTCTTTCAAGTGTAACCCGTTTATGTGCATAGTTAACTCATTTTTTATTATGGTTTTGAACGGACATTTTTCACATTTGTGCCATTCCACGTCACGTTCATCTAAGTGCTTTCGTTTTATGTGATTTCTTAAAGTTACATTCCATCTGCTTTTAAATGGACACTTATCACACGCATATTGTTTGTTTAAAGCATGTTTTCCCATATGATTTTTTATCTTGGCTTTATTTCTAACTTTATAGGGACATTTCGTACAATAATACCAACGTTTTCCGTCAATTTTCTTGAAATGGAAAATATTTGGATTCTCTTTGACAGAACTCACACTTTTTTTTATTCCCGTGCATTCTGAAGTATGTTGAAGCCACTTCAACGACAGATTTGTTTCAAAATCGCACTTTTCGCAAACGTAATTTCGTACACTGAAGTCCTGCAGTGATAAATCGTCCCCAGATTCGCTTTTAAAGCTGTGATTTTTATTAATGTGTTGTTTGAACAAAATCGTTAGTTCCGTTTTAAAATCGCAGTCTTTACAATAATAATCTTCAATTTTGGAGTTTTCGCACGTATATTTTTCCAGAGATGAACGGTGTCGTCTCGCGTGGTTCACCATAAAGACAAGCGATGTTGTAAAATAGGGGCACTGTTTACAATTGTGGACGTTTTTCCAGGAAGATCTTCCCCATTGTTGAAGCGATTCGGAATACTCCAAAGTTGACATTTTGGTTACCTGAAACGTAATATTAGCATTCCAGAGAGGAAGCGAATGCAACTCAGATTACCTCTTACAAGGTTTATAAACTTTGATCTTCCGACCAGTCGCGAAACGTCCGAGTTTTAACCTCACATTTTCACACTAAACTGACGTATGTTGGTAAAATAACAAATATCCCTAAAACACTCAATTATTTTTTCTTTACAATTTTAATTACAAAATAGTCGTCACAAAATACATTTGTTCAATTTAGCTTCCATTTTATCCAAATGGCATTTATTTACATGCGACTTTAAATAAGCGTTGAGTCTCGTCTTAAACGGACAATATTCGCACTCGAACCACTTGACTTTTTCTTCATCCAAGTGTCTACAAATCATATGACGGTTTAAATGAGCCGGAGTTTTACTTCTGTATGGACACTCTTTACATTTGTACCAATTGATGTCTTCTTCCTTCAAGTGTAAATTGATTATGTGTCGTTTCAAATATGATTTTCTTTTAGTTTTGAAATGACATTGTTCACATTTGTGCCATCTAGCGTCTTGACTGTCTGCAGGAATCCGATTTATGTGGCGCTCATTCTGATGACACTTTAAATCAGTGCGACGTTTACCTTTATATGGACAATACTCGCACTGATACAACCTGACTTCCAAATGGATCTGTACGTGTTGTTTTAAATAGTTTTTTATTTTACTTTTGTACGAACAGTTGGCACATTCATACCATTTAGGTTTCTCTGAATGAATAACATCTGTGTGTTTTTTTAAAACTGAAATAAATTTAGTTTTGTAGGGACACTTGTCGCATTCGTGCCATTTAACGTCTTTTTCGTCCAAATGGCGAGAAATCACGTGCTTTTCTAAACTCGACTCCCATCTGGTTTTAAATGGGCATTTTTTACATTGATGGTAGTCGTTGCATTCGTTCGATTTAACGTCTTGTTCGTTCAAGTGAAACAAATTTATGTGTTGATTTAAATTGTGTTTGTTTCTGGTTTTAAACGGACATTTGTCGCACTTATGACATTCAGGGTTTGGTTTCTTTAAATGGACGACATTTACGTGGTGTTTCAGACGTCCTTTGTGCTTGGTTCTAAATAAACACTGTTCGCATTCATACCACTTAATTTTGTCTTCATCTAGATGTTTTACAACTACGTGCGTTTTTAAATTGTTTTTATACCGACTTTTGTACGGACACTCGTTACATTGGTACCATTTACCTTCCTCTTCTTTCAAGTGTAAGTTGTTTACGTGTCTAAATAACTCATCTTTTATTATAGTTTTGAAAATACAGTTTTCACACTTGTACCATTGAACATCTCGCTCATCTAAGTGGTTTCGTTTTACGTGGATTCTTAAAGCTCCTTTCCATTTGCTTTTAAATGGACACTGCTCACATGCATACCGTTTGTTCAAAGCGTGTTTTCCCATATGACGTTTTAAATTCGTTTTATTTCCGGCTTTATACGAACATTCCGTACAATAATAGCAACGTTTTCCGTCAGTTTGGTTGAAAACGAAATAATTCGTTAATTTATTTCCTGCGCACGTTAAAGTATGCTGAAGCATTTTTAACAACAAATTTGTTTCAAAATCGCATTTTTCGCAAACGTAATTTCGTACACTGAAGTCCTCACTTGATAAATTGTCCCTAAATTCGCTTTTAAGGCTGTGATATTTATTAACGTGACGTTTGAACAGAATCGTTAATCCCGTTTCATAATCGCAATCTTTGCAGTAATAGGGTTCAATTTTGGCGCTGTGGCACGTGAATTTTTCCAACAATGAACTGTGTCTGGTTGCGTGGTTCACCATACGTAAAACTGATGTTGTAAAATAGGGGCACAGTTTACAATTTTGAACGTTTTGGCATGAAAGTCTTTCCCATTTTGTCAGAGCTTCCGAATACTCCAAAGTTGACATTTTGGTTGTCTAAAACCGCGTATTAGACACTGGAGAAGCAAATTCTGTTTTGTTTACCTGAATCTCTTTGGGGTACTGTTAAAACAAAACTGGTTGAACGTTTAAGAAATGTCGGGGACTTAACCTAACATTTGTACGTCAAAAATGACGTTTGGATATTGCGAGAAATGACTGAAAAAGATAAGTGTGTGGTTGTTTTTATTTCAGCTAAAATAGAGTAAATAATACCCGCAATAATTTCCAGCAGATATAATTACAAATGTTGTAAACTTATTGTTTATTCAACTTAGCACCACTGCTCACCTGTTGATGTATGTTGGTAAAAACAAAAATATCCCTAGCTAGTAACGCCTGAATATTTCTGCATAGGCAACCCATTTTACGTAGCAACAATTTTCTAGTTATGAGGAAAATAAAACATTTACTTACTTTTTTAACTTTAAAATTATACTGAAAAAATAGTAACAAAATACAAATATTTTAACGCTACAATTTAACATCTGTACCATCTGGATACATCTGACTTATGTGGCGGTGACTTAAATGAATCTTTAAATAACAACTACGTTTCGTTTTATATGGACAATATTCGCACTGATACGGTTTGAAGTCAAAATGAACGTGTACATGCTGCATTAAATATCTTTTTATTTTAGTTTTATACGAACACTTCGCACATTCATACCACCTTGATTCTTCTGAGTGTTTATAATCGTTGTGTTTCTTTAATACTGAAATAAATTTACTTCTGAAAGGACATTTATCGCATTCGTGCCATTTAATTTCTTTCTCATCCAGATGTTGAGAAATTACGTGTCTTCGCAAACTCAAGCGCCATTTAGTTTTGAATGGGCAATATTTACATTCATACCGCTTATTTTTCAATTTAACGTCTTCAAACGAATTTACGTCAAATGAACACGTTTCATTATGCCATTTAGCGTTTTGTTTCTTTAAATGGATGACACTCACGTGGTGTTTTAAGTATCTTTTGGTCCTAGTTTTAAATTGGCAGCGGTCGCATTCGTACCATATAACTTTTTCTTCATGTTTTAAAATAGCGTGGATTTTTAAATCAGATTTATGCCTGGTTTTGTATGGACACTGATTGCAGTGGTACCATTCACCTTCTTCTTCTTTCAAGTGTAAGCTGTTCATGTGCCTGATTAACTGACTTTTTCGTATATTTTTCCAAGGGCATTTTTCACATCTGTGCCATTTAACATCTTGTTCGTCTAAGTGGTTTCGTTTTAAATGATCTTCTAAACTTTTTTTCCATCTGGTTTTAAATGGACAATTATCACACGCATATCGTTTGTTTAAATCATGTTTCCCCATATGACGCTTTATCGTGGATTTATTTCTAACTTTGTAGGAACATTCGGTACAATAGTACCAACTTTTTCCGTCAATTTTCTTGAAGTGGAAAATATTTGTGTCCTGTTTCACAGAACTCACACTTTTTTTTATTCCCGTGCATTCTGAAGTGTGTTGAATCCACTTCAATGACAGATTTGTTTCGAAATTGCACTTTTCGCAAACGTAGTTTTGTACACTGAAGTCCTCAATTGATAAATCGTGTTTAAAGCTGTGATTTTTATTAATGTGTTGTTTGAACAGAATCGTTAGTTCCGTTTTAAAATCGCAGTCTTTGCAGTAATAAGGTTCAATTTTGGCGTTTTCGCACGTATTTTTTTCCTGAGATGAACGGTGTCGTCGCACATGGTTCACCATAAAGAAAACCGATGTTGTAAAATATGGACACAGTTGACAGTTGTGGACGTTTTTCCATGAAGATCTTCTCCAGGCTCGAAGTGATTCGGAATACTCCAAAGTTGACATTTTGGTTGCTTGAAACGTCTTATTAGTATTACACTGGGGAAGCGAATGCAGCTTTGGTTACCTTCCAAAACTTTTACAGAGGTTTTGAAACTTTGCTCTACCGACCATTCGGGAGGTCCGAGTTTTAACCTAACTTTTTCGCGTTAAAAATGACGGTTCGAATTTTTGAAAAATAAAATTTTAACGCAGATCAGACGGTGACAAGTGTGTTATTGTTTTTTGTTTTAGATAAACCAGAAAATTATACTGCATGTTGTAATTTTCCGATGGAAATAAATTCTAAAATGTTGATGTATGTTGGTAAAACAACAAATATCCCTAAAACATTTAGTTGTTTATTTCTTTAAAATTTTATTAGTTAAAAAATAGTCACAAAATAAAAAAATGCTGATACAAAATTTGTATTTATAAAAATTAGTTTTTTTTGTTTTTTTTTTTTCCTTAAAATACGATCTTCTTTTCATAACATTATTGACAAAAATCGATTTTGAATTTACGCTCCTCCCTCCACCCTGACAACGAATGAAAAATTCGCTTTTGCTTTTAGAGCTGTTTCTTGTTGTCGAATTAAGTCCACATATATTACGAAAAAGAGGTAAAATATAGCCCCGCCCACCCGCCCTATCTCAATTCTGATGATTTTTTTATTTGTCGTGAGCCAAGAGGGCGGAGCTTAACTGCAATATCCTTATTTCTCTATGACAAATTAAAAACATCTTTTTGAGTGTCGTGTTGTTCAAAGGATTCTGTGTATATTAAGAAAAAAATAAAGACAAAGATGAGGCCCAACCCCTACCCGCCTCGATCTCAGCTCTCAGTTGTGATGAATTTTTCATTCGTTGTCATATCGATGGGCGGGGCTTAATTGCAAGATCCATATTTGTCTAGAAGAATTTACCATTTTAACCATGTTTTAAGTTTCTTGTTCTGAAAAAACTACCACGTATATTGAGAAAAAAAACAAAATATAAGCCCCACCCACCCACCCCATCTCAATTCTGATAATTTTTTTTTATTCGTCGTAAACCGAGGGGCAGAGCCTAACTGCAAAATCCATATTTCCTTACAAAAATTTACCTTTTTAAATGTGTTTCAAGTTTTCAAGAATAAAAAAATCATCACAATTGAGATTGGGTGGGTGGGCGGGGTTTATATTTTGCCCTTTTTTCTTAGTGTACTTAGCATTCTTTGAAGAACATGATACTCAAAAATATGCCGTTGATACTAACTTTGTTGTTCAACTTTTGCCGTATTTAAAGGGGTTGTGGAAGAAAAGTGGAGGATTTAAGTCGATTACTACAAAAATTTACAATTTTAGACATGTTTTAAGTTTCTTGTGGTCGAAATAAGTCTACACATACTAAGAAAAAAAACAAAATGTAGCCCCGCCCACCCACCCTATCCCGATTGTAATGATTTTTTTATTCGTCGTGCGCCAAGGGGGCGGAGCTTAACTGCAAAATCCTTCTTTCTCTATGAGAAATTAAAAACATGTTTTTGAGTATGGTGTTGTTTAAAGAATACTAGGTATATTAACAAAGAAAGGGAAAATATAAACCCCGCCCACCCACCCCATCTCGATTGTGATGATTTATTTTTATTCTATCAATTTTTTAAGGTAGATTGTCATCAACAAATCTGAATTTTGAATAACTTTTAAATTTATACTGCATGTTGTAATTTTCCGATGGAAATAAAGATTAAAACTTATTATTGTATGTTGGTAAAATAACAAATATCCCTGAAACATTTAGTTGTTTATTTCTTTAAAATTTTATTAGTTAAAAAATAGTCACAAAATACAAATATGCTTATACAAATTTTGTATTTATAAAAATTTGAGTAATTTTGTTTTCTTAATATACGATCTTCATTTCATAACAAAATATTTAAAACATGTTTAAAATGGTACATTTTTTATTGATAAATATAGATTTTGAAATTAAGCTCCTCCTTCCACTCTGACAACAAATGAAAAATTCGCTGACATTGCTTTTAGAGCTGAAAATTGTCATTTATAAACTTCGTTGCCAAGTTGCCGTTGATAGTAATTTTGATGTTCAACTTTTGCCGTATTTAAAGGGATTGTAGAAGAAAAGCGGAGGATTTAAGTTGATTACTACAAAATTTACAATTTTAGACATGTTTTAAGTTTCTTGTGGTCGAAATAAGTCTACACATATTAAGAAAAAGCAAAACAAAATGCAGCCCCGCCCACCCATCCTATCCCGATTGTGATGATTTTTTTTATTCGTCGTGAGCCAAGGGGCGGAGCATAACTGCATGTTTTTTAGTATGGTGTTGTTTAAAGAATACTAGGTATATTAAGAACGAAAGGGAAAATATAAACCCCGCCCACCCAGCCCATCTCGATTGTGATGATTTATTTTTATTCTATCAATTTTTCAAGGTAAATTGTCATCAACAAATATGATTTTTCGTGTATTTTATTGAATAACTTTTTAAGTATCGATTGTAGAATATTGGAAGCTTTGAGTTATTCCATAAAATACGCGAAAAATGATATTTGTTGATGATAATCTGCCTTGAAAAATTGATAGAATAAAAATAAATCATCACAATCGAGATGGGGTGGGTGGGCGGGGTTTATATTTTGCCTTTTTTTCTTAATACACCTAGTATTCTTTAAACAACACCATACTCAAAAACATTTTTTAACTTCTTATAAAGAAATAAGTATTGTGCATTTAAGCTCCTCCCCCTTGGCGCACAGCGAATAAATAACTAGTAACTTTGATGTTCAACTTTTGCCGCAGTTAAAGAGGTTGTAGAAGAAAAGTGGTGGATTTACTACAAATAAATATTTACCATTTTAGACATGTTTCAAATTTCTTGTTGTCGAGATAAGTCTACGCATGTTAAGAAAAAAACAGGCATAATATAGCCCCGCCCACCCACCCTATCTCAATTGCGATGATTTTTTTTATTCGTCGTGAGACAAAAGGGCAGAGCTTAACTGCAAAATCTTTATTTCTATACGAGAAATTATAAATATGCATTCTTGTTGTTCGAAGAATACTATAAAAAAAATTAAAACCAAAAATTAAGCCCCATCCATTCCTGCCCCGATCTAAACAGTAATGAGGTTTTCATTCGTTGGCAGACCTAGGGGCGGAGCCTAATTTTAAAATCCATACTTCCCTACAAAAATTTACCATGTTAAACGTGTTTTAAGTTTCTCAGAATAAAAATATCATCGCAAATGAGAGTATATTTTGCCTTTTTTTCTTAATATACATGGAACTCTTTGAACAAGACGACACTCAACAACATGTTTTTAATTTCTTGAAAAGAAATAAGTATTTTGCAGTTAAACTCCACCCCCTTGGTTCACGGCCAATAAAAAAAATCATCACACTTGAGATAGGGTGGGTGGGCGGGCTGACATTTTGCTTTTTAATTTTAATATGTGTAGACTTCTCTTCAGAACATGAAACTTAAAACATGTTTAAAAGGGAAAATTTATGTAAGGAAATATCGATTTTACAATTAGGTTCCGCACCATAATTGCAAAATTCATATTTCCTTGCAAAAATGTACCATTTCAACCATGTTCTAAGTTTCTTGTTGTGAAAAGATGACTGTGCATATTAAGAAAAAAAAAAAAAAAAAGGAAAAAATATAGGTGCAGCCCACCCACCCAATCTCAATACGTTTTTTTTTTCATACAATATGTTCATCTTTTTCATAACAATATCTTTCAAACGTGTTTAGGATGGTACATTTTTGTAGAGAAATATCGGTTAACCACTTTTAAACCTGTATTTATTTTTAAATAAAATTTCTTGTTTCTAGTTAAAATGTATGTACGATTTTAAGAATTTTCTTCCCTAATCTCAGATCAAAATATTTACGGTTTTCTTTTGAATATAATATCGGTCAATTTTTACCATACTATGAAATCGGGGACTGGGACAGAAATGGAATAAAGAAAAGTGTATACTTGGTTGCATAATTTAATTTTGTACTTTTTATTTTCTATAGAATTTGATCATTAAAAAATGACTAACATAAAATAAATTTGTGACACTTGACTCATTTTTCGTTCAAATGTCGAGAAATTACGTGTTTTTGTAAATGCCACCTCTGCCTAGCTTTGTATGGGCAATTCCTACATTCGTACCATTTAGTTTTATCTTTGTCTGAATGTTTCGCAGATGTGTGCTGCTTCAAACTGTATTTATTCCTAGTTTTGAATTGACACTCATTGCACTGGTACCATTCGCCCCCATATTCATCTACATGCATACTATTTAAGTGGATTCTTAAGGCATGTTTATATCTAGTTTTATGTGGACAATACTTGCATTCATACCACTTAATTTTTTCTTCATCTACATGTTTTAAAATTGCGTGCGTCTTTAAATGACTTTTATACCTAGTTTTCAATTCACACTTATTGCATTCATACCATTTACCTTCCTCTTCTTTCAAGTGTAAGTGGTTTATGTGCTTAGTTAACTCATCTTTTATTATAGTTTTAAAACGACACTTGTCACATTTGTGCCATTCAACGTCGTGTTCATCCAAGTGGATTCGTTTCACGTGGATTCTCAAAGATCCCTTCCAGTTACTTTTAAATGGACACTTGTCACACGCATACCGTTGCTTCAAATCGTGTTTTCCTATATGAGATTTCAAAATACTTTTCTTTCTAGCTTTGTAGCAACATTCCGTACAACAATACCACAGTTTTCCGTCAATTTGGTTGAAAGTAGAATAGCATTTTAGAGCATTTACACCATCTTTCATTCCTGTGCACGTCAAAGTGTGCTGAAGCATCTTCAACAAGAGATTTGTTTTGAAAACGCATTTTTCGCAGACGTAGTCTTCGATAACAAAATCCTGACTAGACTCGCTTTTAAGCCCGTGATATTTATTAATGTGTTGTTTGAACAGAATCGTTAGTTCCGTTTCAAAATCGCAGTCTTTGCAGTAATAGGGCTCAATTTTGGCGTCGTGGCACGTGAATTTTTCCAATGGTGAACTGTGGACCATTTTGTGAGAGCTTCGGAATACTCCAATAGTGACATTTCGGTTGCCTAAAACCGCCTTATTACACTAGAGAAGCAAATGCAACTTTATTTACTTGAATCTGCTTGAAGCATTTAAAACAAAACTTGGACGTGTATGAATGTTGATTTAACCTAACTTTTTTACGTCAAAAATTACTTTCATGTTGGCTAGTTTCCACATAAAAATTCCATTATCAAAAAAATATTGTAACAAACACATTAGTTAATAATTTCGGTATTTTTTTAATAGATTTTATTAACCAATTCGTTCCATAAATAACTATTGACATTCATGACAGACCTCTCCATGAAATTAAAAAATATAGATTGCCACTTAACAAAAGTGCACACGAAGTTCTCGAGGTTGAAAGTGGTCCATAAAAACAGTGTTTAATATGGAAAATAATAAATTTATATTTATATACAATCAGCTTAATACTACACCAACTTAAACTAGACGAAATCTTACACACTTAACTTATTTTTCGTTCAAATGTCGAGACATCACATGTTTTTGTAAATGCCAGATCTGTCTAGCTTTGTATGGGCAACTTCTACATTCGTACCATTTCGTTTTATCTTTGTCTGAATGTTTCGCAGACGTGTGTCGCTTCAAACTGTAGTTATTCCTAGTTTTATACGGACACTCAGTACACTGGTACCATTCGCCACCATATTCATCCACATGCTTACAATTCAAGTGGATATTTAAGGCATATTTATGTCTAGTTTTATGTGGACAATATTTGCATTCGTACCACTTTATTTTTTCATCATCTACATGTTTCAAAATTGCGTGACTTTTTAAACGCCTTTTGTACCTAGTTCTGAATTGACATTCATTGCATTGGTACCAATTACCTTCTTCTTCTTTCAAGTGTAAGTGTTTTATGTGCTTAGTTAACTCTTCTTTTACTATATTTTTAAAAGGACACTTGTCACATTTGTACCATTCAACATCTTGTTCATCTAAGTGGTTGCGTTTTATGTGATTGCTTAAAGATATTTTCCAGTTAGTTTTAAACGGACACTGGTCACATGCATAGCGTTGCTTGGAATCGTGTTTACCTATGTGAGATTTTAAAATACTTTCCTTTCTAGCTTTGTAGGAACATTCCGTACAAACAAACCAACGTTTTCCGTCAGTTTGGTCGAAAGTGGAGTAGTATGTGACATTCTTTTCCGGAACACTCACACTACTGCGATTTTCTTTCATTCCAGTGCACGTCAAAGTATGCTGAAGCATCTTTAACGACAGATTTGTTTTAAAATCGCATTTTTCGCAAACGTAGTCTTCGATAACAAAATCCCAACTTGATGAATCGGCTCTAGATTGTCTTTTAGGGTCGTGATGTTTGCTAACGTGTTGTCTAAATAGAATCGTTAGTCCGGTTTCAAAGTCGCAGTTTTTGCAGAAATAGGGTTCAATTTTGGCGTTGTGGCACGTGAATTTTTCCAACGATGAACTGTGTCGTCTCACGTGGTTTTTCCATGAAGACATTTTGGTTGACTAAAACTACCTATTACCCTAGAGAAGCAAATGCAACTTTGTTTACCTGAATAAATGTCGGAAACTTAACCTAACATTTTTACGTCAACAACGTCGTTTCGTTTTTGTGAAGAAATCACAATTTGCGGATGAAATAATACAAACTTATTATTATCTATTCAGATATACTGTGATTCTGATAACATTCACTGCACCACATGTTGCATACCTGTTGACAAGTGTTGGGGATATTTGTTTGTTACCAACATACGTCAACACTGGTTGATGAAGTTTAAAATGGTTTCAAACTTGACAAGTGTTTATTTTCGTCAACAGTCGCGCACTATCAGACTACCACGAACATTATATACGTGAAAGTGTTAGGTTAGGTTTCTTTCCAAACCAATTATCGCAGACTTTCTTTGCCAGTTTCAGCAGTGCTCCTTGCAGATTTAGGTAAGCAAAATTAATTTACTTTCTGTAGTGTAATAAAGCGGTTTTAGGTAACCAGAATGTCCATTTTGGAGTTTTCTGAATCTTTTCGAGCTTGGGGAAGATCTTCGTGGAGAAACGTCCACGATTGTAACCTGTGCCCCTATTTTACAACATCGCTTTTCCTTATGGTAAACCACGTGCGACGACACCGTTCCACTCCAGAAAAACCGACTTGTGAAAACGCCAACATCGAAACATTTTACTGCAAAGACTGTGATTTTCAAACGGAACTGACGATTCTGTTCAAACAACACATTAATAAAAACCACAGCTTTAAAGACGATTTATCCAGTGAGGACTTCAGTGTGCAAAACTACGTTTGCGAAAAGTGCGATTTCGAAACAAGTTTGTTGTTGAAATGGCGTCAACATGGTTTAGATTGTGCAGGAAAAAAAGAAAATCTGCAAAGTGTGAGTTCTCCGAAAGAAAATGTCACATACAGTAGGAAAAATAGCCATTTGATCAAGGAGTTTGCATGCCATAAGTGTCCATATAAAACTAGATATCCATCGGATTTAAAAAGACACATAAATGGGACGCATTTAGATGAACAAAATGGCGAATGGCATTTATGTGAAGAGTGTCCATACAAGTCTAGGTACAAGTGGAATTTAAAAAAGCATATAATTTCCAACCACAGTAATGTTCATCATCCAGAAAAATCTAAACGCAGTTGTCGTTCAAAGAGTCATTTAAATCAGATCTATCCAGATGGTGAATGGCACAAAACTAGAACAAGATCTGATTTAAAAAAATCCGTAAACAACTCACACTTAGACCAAGAAAACGTCATCTGGTACTATTGTAAAGAGTGTCAATATAAAACTAAAAGACGGACGGATTTAAAACGTCACGTGCTTTGTAGACATTTAGATGAAGACAAAATCAACTGGTTCAAGTGCGAATATTGTCCATTTAAGACGAAAATCAAATATAGTTTAGATGCACATATAAATGGACAACATTTAAGGCAATGCAAGCCAATGGTACAAATGCGATCACTGTCCTTACGAAACTAAAATGAAGTAATAGTTTTGTAAACACATAAATAAACGACAAATAGATTTTAATTTAGTTTAAGTTAGGTGTAGTTTTAAGCTGATTGTGTATAAGTACGTCTGTTGCTTTAATTGTAGCTTTAAAGTAGTTGTGTAATGCGTTTGATTTTTCTGATTTAAGTTTAGTTATTTGTAATTTCAAAAAGTTTGGTTGGTTATGCAACTGGTGATACATGCAATATGTACATTTCGCGACTTTTTTTTGCAGTGTAATGTAGACAGAGCGCATCGATTTATTAAATGTTAATTCAATGCATTACTACAATAATAATAGTAATACTAGTAGCTATTATCGATTTGTTGGGAGAGAATAAACCAGACTTTTTGACAGTCCTCAATTATTTGGTTGAATTTCGTTTCATGATTGCCAATAAGACAAATCGAAAGCTCCTAATTTTTTATAATCATTAATAAACATTATATAATAAAAAAATCATGATAATTTATTAATTGTTTTATTTGTCTAATAAACGACTTACACGTCCCGATAAATTAAAACTCAAATCGTACTTACTCCGTTTTCGGGAATTTTTGGAAAAATATCCACTTTTATTTATTTATTCAATATCTATGGGAATGGTAGTTCTCGAATTCACGAAATGTTGACGTTGAGCACCCTAACCTAACTTTTTACATAATTTGTTGTTTGTGTGTTATTTGAACAAAGTTTTGTAACTATTTTTGCCGGTAGTACATTTCTGCAGCGACTTTTGGTTGCAACTTATTTAATTTTTCCAAAAATCGAAATTATTTTTGACGCGAAAATGTGAGGTTAAAACTGTGGTGTTTATCGAATAGTCTAGAGACGATTTAGGTAAACAAAATTGCATATGCTTCCCCAGTGTAATAAGCCGGTTTTAGATTATCGAAATGTCAATTTTGGAGTTTTCTGACTCTGTTCGAGTTCGGGGAAGATCTTCATGGAAAAACGTCCACAACTGTAAACAATGCCCCTATTTTACAACGTCACTTTTCTCTATGGTGCACCACGTGAAACGACACAGTTCAACCGTGGAAAAATTCACATGCTGTGAAGCCAAAATCGAACTATATTATTGCAAAGATTGCGACTTTAAAACCGAACTAACGATTCTGTTCAAACAACACATTGATAAACATCACGGAATTAAGAAAGAATCAAGTCGGGATTTTGTTGTCGAGAACTACGTTTGCGAAAAATGCAACTTTGAAACAAATCTGGTGTTAAAGTGGCTTCAGCATTCTTCAGCGTGTACAGGAAAGGAAAAAAGTTGGTATTACTGTGTGGAATGTCCCTATAAAGCCAAACTCGAAACCAATTTAAAACGTCATATAGCACACAGTCATTTGAAAAAGCGGTATGCTTGTGACAAGTGTCCTTTTCAAAGTAGATATCACCGAAGTTTAAAAATCCACATGAGTCGGATCCATTTAGATGAACAAGAGGGTGAATGGTACCTGTGCACTGACTGTTCATTCAAAACTCGGTATAAACAAAATTTAAAAGTGCACGTAACTGTGAAACACCCAAATGGGGATAAAATTAAGTGGTATGAATGCAAACAATGTCCACATAAAACTAGATATAAACAAGCTTTATTAAGCCACGTAAATAAAATCCATGTATTTACGCCATCTAGCCAAGTTGGTGAGTGGTACAAGTGTGAAAATTGTCCGTTTAAAACAAGGACAAAAAATAACTTGAAAGTACACATAGAGTGTTTACACTTGAACAAAGACGACACTAAATGGTACGAATGCAATCAGTGTCAATTCAAAACCAAGTATAAAAATTGTTTAAAGAGACACGTTATTGTAAAACATTTAGATAAAGCAAAAATTGAGTGGTACGAATGCAAACTGTGTCCGTATAAAAGTAAATATAAAGTAGGTTTAAGAATCCACGTGACTAGTCTACATTTAAAAGATGCTAAATGGTATACGTGTGACAAATGTCCATTTAAAACCAGACTGAAACAAAGTTTTAAAGCCCACATAAATTTCTCACACGTGAAAGAAGAAAATATTAAATTGTACGAATGCAACGAGTGTCCACACAAAACTAGGTATAAATATAATTTACGGAAACACATAGTTGCACAACATCAAGACCCTAAAAGAATTAAATGGTACGCTTGTGGCAGTTGTCCATTTAGAACTAAACGCCAGTCCAATTTAAAAAATCATGTAGAAGCTAGACATTCGGATGAAACTAAACGCTACGAATGCGACAAATGTCCCTACAAAACTAGACTGAGTCGAAATTTAAAAAGACACACAATTCTTATTCATTCAGACAATCCAGAATGGTACGAATGTGCCAAGTGCTCGTATAAAACCAAAACAAAACACTCTTTAAAACTGCACGTACAGGCCCATTTGGACGTCAAACCGTATCAGTGCAAATATTGTCCGTATGCGTCGATACACAACGGTGATTTAAAGCGCCATATGGATTGTCGCCACATAAATCAGATCCACTCAGACGATGAAAGTGCTGAGTGGTACAAGTGCGGAAAGTGTCCTTTTCAAACTAGGGGGAAATACGATCTCAAACGACACATTAACAAAGTGCATGAAGAAGACGTCGAGTGGTACGAATGTAAGGAGTGTCCATACAAAACTAAAAACCGGTGGACTTTGAAACGTCACGTAATTTCTAGACATTTGGAGGAAGAACAAGTCACGTGGTACGAGTGCAGATATTGTTCGTATAAGACGAAATTCAGCAATTGTTTAAAGTCTCATGTAAATGGAAGCCATTTGGATGATGCGGAAGCTAAATGGTATAAATGCGAACGTTGTTTGTACAAATGTAAAAATCGATCTACTTTCTACAAACACAAAAGGAAAGGGCACGTGTAGATTTTTGTTTTAATTGTAGTCTTAAAATATTTGTGTTAGCACTGGTTGTAACTATTTGTTTTCAGTAAAATTTTGAAGAAAACTGAATGAATGTTTTATTTATCACATTGCTAAATATATTGCCCAAAAAAATTGGAAATCAGTTTACAAAAAGATTCTTTGTACATTTCAACCTCGAGAAGTTATTTTTGGCTATATTTCTTCGAGAAGTCTTAGCATCTTTCCAGAATCCCTAGGCAGTGTGCAAGTTTGTAATAATTGGTTTGGAAAGAATTCTAGTTAGAACGATATGGGAATCTGACACGATCATGGAACACGTGTATTGTGTGTTGCATACGCTGCATTGAGGTTATGTCATCTTATTTAATTCTAATTTACTTGAAAATTTAAAACGACTTGTTCTTTATACTATATCATATTTATGTCGTGATTTAATTTTAGTTTTGTAAGAACAGGATCGCCTTTGTACAATATGTGACATTCCAAGTAATACGATTGTTGAGCTTTAAATGAACACTTATCGCATTAGTGCCCTCTGATGTCATTTTTCTTCAAGTGTAAGTCACTTATGTGATTTTTCAAACCATTTTTTTTTTTCTAGTTTTGAGAGAACATATTTCTTACTTGTGCCACTTAACATCTTCACCGTCTGCACGCACCTGATCTATAACGCGTTAAAGTGTTAAGATGCTGTATTAAATTGTATTTTGTTTTACTTTTAAACGAACACTTCTCACATTTATACCATTCTGGTTTTTCTGAATGATTAAAATATGTGTGTTTTTTAACTTGATATAAATTTGATTCTGTAGGGACATTTTTCACATTCGTGCCACTTGACGTCTTTGTCGCCCAAATGTCTACAAATTACGTGCTTGTTTAAACTCGACCCCCATCTAGTTTTGAATGAGCAATTTTTACACTCAAACCACTTAATTTTTTCTTTGGTTGGATATTTTACTTTTACGTGCTTGTTTAAATATATTTTATTCTTGGTTTTGAATGGGCAGTCGTTGCTTTTTTACAGAAGGTTTCACCTATTTTTTATTTCGGAAGATTAAACCTTCTCGGGGGCCTCTACTGTCTTTTTTTTCAGAAGATTAAACCTTGTCGAGGGCTCCAACTGTCTTTTTTTTCAGAAGATTAAACCTTCTCAGGGGCCTCGACTGTTTTTTTTTTCAGAAGATTAAACCTTCTCCGGGGCCCCAACTATATTTTTTATTTCGGAAGATTAAACCTTCTCGGGGGCCTCTACTGTCTTTTTTTTCAGAAGATTAAACCTTGTCGAGGGCTCCAACTGTCTTTTTTTTCAGAAGATTAAACCTTCTCAGGGGCCTCGACTGTTTTTTTTTTCAGAAGATTAAACCTTCTCCGGGGCCCCAACTATATTTTTTATTTCCGAAGATTAAACCTTCTCGGGGGCCTCTACTGTCTTTTTTTTTCAGAAGATTAAACTTTCTCGGGGCCTCGACTGTCTTTCTTTTCAGAAGATTAAACCTTCTCGGGGGCCTCGACTATTTTTTTTTCAGAAAACCTTCTCGGGGGCTCCAACTGTCTTTTTTTTTCAGAAGATTAAACCTTCTCGGGGCTCCAACTGTCTTTTTTTTTCAGAAGATTAAACCTTCTCGGAGCTCCAACTGTATTTTTTTTTGAGAAAATTAAACCTTCTCGGAGGCCTCGACTGTCTTTTTTTTCATAAGATTAAACCTTCTCGGGGGCTCCAACTGTATTTTTTTTCAGAAGATTAAACCTTCTCGGGGGCTCCAACTGTATTTTTTTTTCAGAAGATTAAACCTTCTCGGGGCCTCGACTGTCTTTTTTTTCAGAAGATTAAACCTTCTCGGGGCCTCGACTGTCTTTTTTTTCAGAAGATTAAACCTTCTCGGGGCTCCAATTGTATTTTTTTATAGAAACTTAAACCTTCCCGGGGGCTCCAACTGTCTTTTTTTTTTCAGAAGATTAAACCTTCTCGGGGGCCTAGACTGTCTTTTTTTTTAGAAGCTTAAACCTTCTCGGAGGCTCCAACTGTCTTTTTTTTCAGAAGATTAAACCTTCTCGGGGGCCTCGACTGTCTTTTTTTTCAGAAGATTAAACCTTCTCGGGGCTCCAACTGTATTTTTTTATAGAAACTTAAACCTTCCCGGGGGCTCCAACTGTCTTTGTTTGCAGAAGATTAAACCTTCTCGGGGCTCCAACTGTATTTTTTTATAGAAACTTAAACCTTCCCGGGGGCTCCAACTGTCTTTTTTTTTCAGAAGATTAAACCTTCTCGGGGGCATCGACTGTCTTTTTTTTTCAGAAGACTAAACCTTCTCGGGGCCTCAACTGTATTTTTTTTATAGAAACTTAAACCTTCTCGGGGGCTCCAACTGTCTTTTTTTTTCAGAAGATTAAACCTTCTCGGGGCTCCAACTGTATTTTTTTATAGAAACTTAAACCTTTTCGGGGGCTCCAACTTTCTTTTTTTTTCAGAAGATTAAACCTTCTCGGGGGCTCCAACTGTCTTTTTTTTCAGAAGATTAAACCTTCTCGGGGCTCCAACTGTATTTTTTTATAGAAACTTAAATCTTCTCGGGAGCTCCAACTGTCTTTTTTTTTCAGAAGATTAAACTTTCTCGGGGGCCTCGACTGTCTTTTTTTTCAGAAGATTAAACCTTCTCGGAGGCCCCAACTGTATTTTTTTATAGAAGCTTAAACCTTCTCGAGTTTACTTCAAGTTTTTCTGAAGTCCTAAAATCCTGAATCCTGAAAACCAGAATAGCAAAATCTTCAAGAGGATCTGCTAATTTGGAATGATGAAATCCTCAATCCAGAGACCCATAATTATGAAACCTTGAATCCTGAAATCCTAATCCTAAAATTACGAAATCCGAAATGTCTTTTATAAATCAGGATTTCATAATCTTTAGGGATTTATAGCTTCGGGCCTGAAAATTTCAAGTACTCAAATTTTCGAAAGTTCCGGATTCAAAATTTTAAGATTCAAGATTTCATGTTTCGAAATTTGAGATCTCAAACTTCACAGATTAATCAAGAATTTCCAAATTGTGAATTTTCATGTTTATGATTAAAATTCAAACTTTCAGTGTTCAAAATTTTATTTTTCAGCATTTTAGGATACAGGAATTTAAATTTCAAAATTCAAGTTTTAAATTCCGGGGTTTTTAATTAATTTGGAAACCTGAAATACATAATCCTGAAATACCAAAGTGGTCACTCCTGAAACCTAAAATACCAAAATTCTCAAGTTATGGATCCTCGGAATTTATAATAAAAAAATCTTCAAAATATGAATCCTACGTTGAACGATGTGGATTCTGAAATGATGAGTCCTAAATATGGAAATCTCAATTTTTTAAATCATGAATCTTGACGTTTTGAAAAAAAAAGTAAAATGTTGCCCCGCCCACCCACCCTATCTCAATTGTGAAGATTTTTTTATTCGCCGTGAGCCAAGGGGGGGCAAATATTAATTGCGACATTTTAATGGACGATTCGGGAAAAATGGTTGGATTAAATCTACCGGAAATTTATTTAGTTATATTTTGAAATTTGTATACATGGTGGAAATTCTCGTTTTTGCAAAAATCGTTTAGAAATTGTCAAAAAATTCAGCGGTATAGAAATCTCGAAAAATGTAACTTTCAAACAAATCACTCGGTCTTTGTTTAAAATTTTAATGAAAGCAAAATACAAACAGCGGTGATACAAATATTTTAAGACTACAATTAAAATAAAACTCTACACGTGCCCTTTCCTTTTGTGTTTGTAAAAAGTAGATCGATTTTTACATTTGTAAGAACAACGTTCGCATTTGTACCACTTAGCTTCTGCATCATCCAAATGGCTTCCATTTACATGAGACTTTAAACAATAATTGAATTTCGTCTTATACGAACAATATCGGCACTCGTACCACGTGACTTGTTCTTCCTCCAAATGTCTAGAAATTACGTGACGTTTCAAAGTCCACCGGTTTTTAGTTTTATATGGACACTCTTTACATTCGTACCACTCGACGTCTTCTTCATGCACTTTGTTAATGTGTCGTTTGAGATCATATTTCCCCCTAGTTTGAAAAGGACACTTTCCGCACTTGTACCACTCAGCACTTTCATCGTCTGAATGGATCTGATTTATGTGGCGGTAATCCATATGACGCTTTAAATCAACGTTGTGTATCGACGCATATGGACAATATTTGCACTGATACGGTTTGACGTCCAAATGGACCTGTACGTGCAGTTTTAAACAGTATTTTGTTTTAGTTTTATATGAGCACTTGGCACATTCGTACCATTCTGAATTTTCTGAATGAATATGAATTGTGTGTCTCTTTAAATTTCGACTCATTCTAGTTTTGTAGGGACATTTGTCGCATTCGTAGCGTTTAGTTTCGTCCGAATGTCTAGCTTCTACATGATTTTTTAAATTGGACTGGCGTTTACTTCTAAATGTACAACTGTCACAAGCGTACCATTTAATTTTGTTTTCGTTTTGATGTCGTGCAATTACGTGTGTCCTTAAATTATCTTTATACTTAGTTTTGTGTGGGCACTCACTGCATTCATACAATTTGATGTTCTCTTCTTTCACGTGTAACAAATTTGTATGTAGTTTAAAACTCCGTTCCCATCGGGATTTAAATGGACACTTACTAGTCACGTGGATTTTTAAACCTGCTTTATTTTTACTTTTATATGGACAGTGTTTGCATTTGTACCACTTGATTTTTTCTTTATCTAGATGTTTTACAATAGTGTGCCTGTTTAAACAATTTTTACGCTTAGTTTTAAATGGACACTCATTGCCCCGGTGCCATTCACTTTCATATATGTCCTCTTCCTTTCCTGTACACGCTGAAGAATGCTGAAGCCACTTTAACACGAGATTTGTTTGGAAGTGGCATTTTTCGCAAACGTAGTTTTTGACAATAAAGTCCCGACTTGATGAATCGTCGTCGGATTCTTTCTTAATTCCGTGATGTTTATCAATGTGTTGTTTGAACAGAATCGTTAGTTCGGTTTTAAAATCGCAATCTTTGCAGTAAAATACTTCGATTTTGGAATTGGAACATGTGAATTTTTCCACGGATGAACGATGTCGTCGCACGTGGTTCACCATTAAGAAAAGTGACGTCGTAAAATAGGGGCATTGTTTACAGTTGTGGACGTTTTTCCATGAAGATCTTCCCCGAACTCGAAGAGATTCGGAATACTCCAAAGTTGACATTTTGATAAGCTAAAACCGCCTTATTACACTGGGGAAGTAAATGCAATTTTTGTTTACCTAAATCGTCTCCTGCAACCGTGCTCTAGACTATTCGATAAACACCGCAGTTTTAACCTCACATTTTCTCGTCAAAAATAATTTCGATTTTTGGAAAATTTAGATAAGTTCCAACCAAAAGTCGCTACCGGCACAAATAGTTACAAAACTTTGTTCAAATAACACACAAACAACAAATTACACAAAAAGTTAGGTTAGTGTACAATCACACGCAAATGTTTTGAGCCTATGGGCGGATCATTTTTGCCTGTCGTCACCGAAGGAGGCGGTCCAAATCGTCCAAGGGCAGAATTTGTAGGTAGGCTCAAACTACAACGAAATTTACGTGTTGACCAAATTCTTACCCTGAATTAGTTTTAATTTTATAAATACCCTATCTAAAATGTTCAGAATATGATGAGTCTATACTTTTTGATTTACCATTCCATTAATATTTTTTGGATTTGTTTATACAAACAGGGTGACTCAAAATGAAATAATGACTGAGTCAATTTATTTTATTGAAGAAATCAAGGATTGCAAAACTGAATACATAGAAATCTTGTCAATTAGTTAGAAAAAAAAACCTGTCCTGCTCTAATAACATCGAGAATATGCTCAAAATCACACTAATATTAGGTCTAATTGTGCCGACCATAGTTATAAAATTCACATTAAAGTAAGTCACGGACATTTTTTGAAGTGTATTACATTTCAAAAAGCAAAAAAAATGTTCAGTTTATAAACTTCATAATTTTGGTTTAAAGTTTATCAATCATATTTGACGCTTTATTTTATCCGTTCCATTTGTTATCCTTTACTGCGGTCTCTCTTGGGTCGTGGTGTAACACCGGACCGAACGTTCTTCGACCGATAGGATAATTTATTACTTCCGACATCTTTTCGGTGACAAATTTAATCTTTGCATACTTCAGCGTAGTTAGTGAACTCGTTGTGACCACTGAAATGTACAAAGAGTAAATTTTGAAGTGGAACGAAAGTCGAAGAATACTTTCAAAGCCACGATCAAAATGTATTTGCTTATCTTCGCCAAAAAATGCATGACGTCATCGTAAAATTTGATATGATGAGTCTATACCTGTGATTTGTCATTGCAGTAATATTTTTTTGATTTGCTTATACAGCCTGTCTCAAAAAAAGGTCACTTCGATTTTCAATTTTTCGTTTTTTCAACCAACAGTTTCATCGAATTAGATTTTTCAGTTTCCATTTTTCTATCAACTTTTCGATTTTATTACTTTCCAATTTTCTGATTTTTCAAGTTTGCGGAATTTTGAATTTTCGAGTTTTCAGTTTTTTCGTTTTTCGATTTTTTAATTTTTCGTTTTTTTGATTTTTCGATGTTTCGATTTTTTGATTTGCATTCTTTCAATTTTCGATTTTTCGTCTTTCCATTTTTAGATTTTTGGATTTTTCTGTTCGTCGGCTTTTAGACTTTGCAATTTTTTTGCATTTTTCGATTATATTTTACTTTCCGATTTTTTTGAATTTTGAATTCTCGATTTTTCAATTTTCCGGTTTTTTAATTCTTCTATTCTCGATTTTTCGATTTTCCATCAATCATTAAATTTTCCATTTTTCGGTTGTTTTATTTTTCGACCTTCGATTTTTCAACTTTCGATTATTCGATTTTCCATTTTCTGATTTTACGATTTTTCGATTTGCGATTTTTCGATTTTCGTTTTTCCGCTTTTGTGGTTTTTAGATTTTTCTGTTTGTTTCAGTTTTTATGGTTCTGCAATTTGTTTTATTTTTCCATTTTTCGATTATTTTACTTTCCGATAGTTTGATTTTTGAATTTTCGGTTTTTCCATTTTTCGATTTGGAATTTTTCAGTTTTTCGGTTGTTTAATTTTTCATATTTCGATTTTCGATTTTTCAGATTTGTGGATTTGTGTCCGTTTTTTCGATTTTTAGAATATTGATTAATCGAATTTTCGATTTTTGAGCATTTCGATTTTTCGATTATCATTTTTACGATTTTTCTCTCGATATTCGAGTTTTCGATTTTCCATTTTTCAAATTTTCAATTTTTAATTTTGCTTTTTTCGATTGTTGCTTTTTAGAATTTTCCCTTCTTCAGCTTTTAGATTTCAATTTTGTTACTTTCCGATTTTCCACTTTTCGATTTTTTTATTTTTTTTCGATCGTCGTTTTTTCGATTTTCATTTTTCCGATTTTTTGATTTTTCAATTTTTAGGCCTTGCAATTTTTTTACTTTTCGCTTTTTCGAGTATTTGTTTCATCGCATTTTCGATTTTTCGAGTTTTCGATTTTCGATTTTTCGGTTTTTCCATTTTCCGATTTTCCATTTTTAGATATTTTTCGATTTTTTTTGATTTTTCGATTTTTCTGTTCGTCAGTTTTGAGACTTGCAATTTTTACTTTTCCACTTTTCTATTATTTTAGTTTTGGATTATTCGATTTTTGAATTTTGTTTTTTTTTAATTTTTCGATTTTTCGGTTTTTTAATTTGTCGATTCTCGATATTCCGATTTTCGATTTTTCGATTTTTCAATTTCCAGTTTTCGATTTTCCACTTTTTGATTTTACGATTTTTCGATTTTTCTGTTCGTCAGTTTTTAGGCTTTGCAATTTGTTTACTTTTCGATTTTTCGATTATTTTAATTTCCAATTTTTTGATTTTTGAATTGTCGACTTTTAGAGTTTTCAATATTATGAATTTTCGAATTTTCGGTTTTCCTATTTTTGTATTTTTGATTTTTCCATTTTTCGGTTTTTTGATATTTCAATTCTCGGTTTTTCAATCTTGCAAAGTTTCGAATTTTCGATTGTTCAGTTTTCCATTTTTCAGCTTTTAGACTTCAATTTTTTTACTTTTCGATTTTCCAAATTTTCGAGTTTCAATTTCCAGATTTTTGATTTTTCGATTTTCTGTTTAAATCTTTGAATTTTTCGGTTTCGATTTTTCGAATTTTTGATTTTTAATTTTTCCATTCTTCGGTTTTTAGACTTCAATTTTCTTTCTTTTAAATTTTTCGATATTCTATTTTCCGCTTTTCAGAATTTTCGATTTTCAGTTTTCAGACTTTCGATCATTAGAATTTTGGATTTTTCAGTTTTATGATTTTTCGATTTTTAGAAAATTCGAGTAGTCGAATTTTGCGATTTTCAATTTGTCCATTGTCGATTTTTATAATTTTCGGTTTTTCAATTTTTCTATTCTCAACTGTTTGACTTCAATTTTGTTACTTCCCGATTTTTTGGTTTTCGATTTTCCAATTTTCAGAATTTCCAAGTTTCTTTATTCAGATTTTCGATTTTCCACTTTTTCGATTTTAGATTTTTCGAATTTTTGTTTTTCCAATTTTTTGCTTTTTCGATTTTTCTGTTCGTTTCAGTTTTTAGGCTTTGCAATTTTCTCTACTTCATATATATTGATTATTTTAATTTCCGATTTTTTTATTTTTGTTTTTGATTTTTTTAATTTTCAATATTACTTTTCGATTTTTTGGTTTTCCCGTTTTTCAATTTTCGATTTTTCAATTTTTGAGGTTTGTGAATTTCCACTTTTCGATCGACCTAGGTATTTGATTCATTGAATTTTCGATTTTTTAATTAGCCATTTTATTTTTTTGATTTTTACGATTCGTATTTTTCGATTTTCTGTTTTTTGCATTTGTGAATTTCATTTTTTCCGATTTTTGATTTTGCGCATATAAATCAAATTTTCGAAAAAGTTACCATGCTTACAAAAACTTCAAAACATCTACAATATTTATTCAAAGTATTCAGTTTTCCTATTCTTGATTTCTTCAATAAAATAAATTGACCCAGTCATTAACTTTTTTGAGACACCCTGTATAACCAAATCTAAAAAATATTAATGCAGTGATAAATCATATTTTATACATTTAAGATAGGATTTATTCTGCAAAATTTTGAGGTGACGTCATAAATTTTTTAGAGGGGACACGACAATATCGTTTTTTTTTATTTATTTATTTATTTATTATGAACATTTAAGAGTATTTAATTGGAAAAAGTGATGAAATTTTTTATACGGAACAATTGGTCGAAAGATGTTAGAAAGCAAAATAATTCCTGTCCGGACCATCGTTACTCAGGAACGAAAGTGACCATTATTTCGTGGGAACAACTACCTGCTAAATCTTCTCCGACAAATTCGAGAGAACTGGTGTGAGCCATAAATACTTCTTACCAAATGTAAATTTCGTTGTAGTTTGAGCTTACCTACAAATTCTGCCCTTGAAGGATTTGGACCGCCTTCTTCGGTGAGGGCAGGCAAAAATGATCCGCCCATAGGCTCAAAACATTTAAATAAGTTCCAACCAAAAGTCGCTACCGGCACAAATAGTTACAAAACTTTGTTCAAATAACACACAAACAACAAATTACACAAAAAGTTAGGTTAGTGTACTCAACGTCAACATTTCGTGAATTCGAGAACTACCATTCCCAAAGATATTGAATAAATAAATAAAAGTTGATATTTTTCCAAAAATGCTCGAAAACGGAGTAAGTACGATTTGAGTTTTAATTTATCGGGACGTGTAAGTCGTATATTAGACAAATAAAAAAATTAATAAATTATCATGATTTTTTTATTATATAATATTTATTAATGATTATAAAAAATTAGGAGCTTTCGATTTGTCTTATTGGCAATCATGAAATGAAATTCAACCAAATAATTGAGGACTGTCAAAAAGTCTGGTTTATTCTCTCCCAACAAATCGATGATAGCTACTAGTATTACTATTATTATTGTAGTAATGCATTGAATTAACATTTAATAAATCGATGCGCTCTGTCTACATTACATTGTAAAAATAAGTCGCGAAATGTACATATTATGTGTATTACTAGTTGCATAACCAACCAAATTTTTGAATTTATGAACCAATAAATTAAAATCAGAATAATATTTTTGTTTTTGTGTATAAACCACCAAACGTGGAGACACAAATTCCTTATCTACTACTTTCAACTGCAAACATTCAGACGGCTTTTTATTCTCTTTATTTTGAACCACAATTCAGTTTTTTCAAAGAAAAGATCGTTAGAAAAATGAAACCTGTATTACAAATACTTTAAAGCTAGAATCAAAGCGAGAGCCGTACTTATACACAATCAGCTTAATACTACACCAAACTTAAACTAAATTAAATTCTATTTGTCGTTTATTTATGTGTTTACAACTGCGTTTTGATTTTTCTGGATGATGAACATTTCTGTGATTGTTTAATACTGAATACTGAAATAAGTTTACTTCTGCAGCGACATTTTCCACATACATGGCATTTATTTTTGTTTGTGTTCAAATGTCGGGAATTGTATGCTTTTTAAAATACCACTTATATCTAGTTTTGTATGGACACTTTTCACATTTTCAGAGAAAAGTCGTCTAAAAATTCTCAAAAAATTGAGCGGTATAGAAACTTCGAAAAATATAACTTTCAAACAAATCAATCAGTCTGTCTTTTAAATTTTAATGAAAGCAAAATACAAACAGTTGTGATACAAATATTTTAAGACTACAATTAAAATAAAACTTTACACGTGTCCTTCCCTTTTGTGTTTGTAGAAAGTGGATCGATTTTTACATTTGTAAGGACAATGTTTGCATTTGTACCATTTAGCTTTTGTATCGTTCAAATGGCGTCTTTTTATATGAGACTTTAAAGAATTGTTGAATTTAGTCTTATATGGACAATATTCGCACTCGTACCACGTGACTTGTTCTTCCTTCAAATGTCTACAAATTACATGACGTTTCAAAGTCCACCGGTTTTTAGTTTTATATGGACACTCTTTACATTCGTACCACTCGACGTCTTCTTCATGTACTTTGTTAATGTGTCGTTTGAGATCATATTTTCCTCTAGTTTGAAAAGGACACTTTCCACATTTGTACCACTTGGCACTTTCATCGTCTGAATGGATCTGATTTATGTGGCGGCAATCCATATGACGCTTTAAATCACCGTTGTGTATCGACGCATACGGACAATATTTGCACTGATACGGTTTGACCTGCAAATGGGCCTGTACGTGCAGTTTTAAAGAGTGCTTTGTTTTACTTTTATATGAGCACTTGGCACATTCATACCATTCTGGATTTTCTGAATGAATAAGAATTATATGTCTCTTTAAATTTCGACTCAATCTAGTCTTGTAGGGACATTTGTCGCATTCGTAGCGTTTATTTTCATCCGAATGTTTAGCTTCTACATGATTTCTTAAGTTTGCCTGGCGTTTACTTCTAAATGGACAACTGTCACAAGCGTACCATTTAACTTTTTTTTCGTCTTGATGTAGTGCAAGTACGTGTTTCCTTAAATTATCTTTATACCTAGTTCTGTGTGGACACTCACTGCATTCGTACAATTTGATGTTTTCTTCTGTCGCGTGCAACAAATTTGTATGTAGTTTAAAACTCCGTTCCCATCGGGTTTTAAATGGACACTTATCACATGTGTAGCATTTGCCATCTTTTAAATGTATATTACTCACGTGGATTTTTAAACTTGCTTTATTTTTACTTTTATACGGACAGTGTTTGCATTTGTACCGCTTGATTTTTGCTTTCTCTAGATGGTTTACAATAACGTGCCTCGTTAAAGGATTTTTATGCTTAGTTTTAAATGGACACTCATTACACTGGTGCCATTCACTGTCATATATGTCCTCTTCCTTTCCTGTACACGCTGAAGAATGCTGAAGCCACTTTAACACGAAATTTGTTTGGAAGTCGCATTTTTCGCAAACGAAGTTTTCGACAACAAAATCCCAACTTGATTCTTTCTTAAGTCCGTGATTTTTATCAATGTGTTGTTTGAACAGAATCATTAGTTCAGTTTGAAAATCGCAATCTTTGCAGTAATAGACTTCGATTTTGGAATTGTAGCATGTGAATTTTTCCACGGGTGAACGATGTCGTCGCACGTGGTTCACCATTAAGAAAAGTGACGTTGTAAAATAGGGGCATTGTTTACAGTTGTGGACGTTTTTCCATGAAGATCTTCCCCGAACTCGAAGAGATTCAGAATACTCCAAAGTTGACATTTTGATAAGCTAAAACCGCCTTATTACACTGGGGAAGTGTATGCAATTTTGTTTACCTAAATCGTCTCTAGACTATTAGATAAACACCACAGTTTTAACCTCACATTTTCGCGTCAAAAATAATTTCGATTTTTGGAAAAATTAAATAAGTTGCAACCAAAAGTCGCTGCAGAAATGTACTACCGGTAAAAATAGTTACAAAACTTTATTCAAATAACACACAAACAACAAATTATGTAAAAAGTTAGGTTAGGGTGCTCAACGTCAACGTTTCGTGAATTCGAGAACTACCATTCCCATAGATATTGAATAAATAAATAAAAGTGGATATTTTTCCAAAAATTCCCGAAAACGGAGTAAGTACGATTTGAGTTTTAATTTATCGGGACGTGTAAGTCGTTTATTAGACAAATAAAACAATTAATAAATTATCATGATTTTTTTATTATATAATATTTATTAATGATTATAAAAAATTAGGAGCTTTCGATTTGTCTTATTGGGAATCATGAAACGAAATTCAACCAAATAATTGAGGACTGTCAAAAAGTCTGGTTTATTTTCTCCCAACAAATCGATGATAGCTACTAGTATTACTATTATTATTGTAGTAATGCATTGAATTAACATTTAATAAATCGATGCGTTTTGTCTACATTACATTGTAAAAATAAGTCGCGAAATGTACATATTATGTGTATTATCAGTTGCATAACCAACCAAATTTGTTGAATCAATAAACTAAAATCAGAATAATATTTTTGTTTTTGTGTATAAACTACCAAACGTGGAGATACAAATTCCTTATCTACTACTTTCAACTGCAAACATTTAGACGGCTTTTTATTCTCTTTATTTTGAACCACAATTCAGTTTTTTCAAAAAAAACATCGTCAGAAAAATGAAACGTGTATTACAAATATTTTAAAGCTAGAATCAAAGCGAGAGCCGTACTTATACACAATCAGCTTAATACTACACCAAACTTAAAGTAAATTAAATTCTATTTGTCGTTTATTTATGTGTTTACAACTGCGTTTTGATTTTTCTGGATGATGAACATTTCTGTGGTTGTTTAATACTGAAATAAGTTTACTTATGCAGCGACATTTTCCACATACATGGCATTTATTTTTGTTTGTGTTCAAATGTCGGGAATTGTATGCTTTTTAAAATAACACTTATATCTAGTTTTGTATGAACACTTTTCACATTTTCAGAGAAAGAAAAGTCGTCTGAAAATTCTCAAAAAATTTAGCGGTATAGAAACTTCGAAAAATATAACTTTCACAAAAATCAATCAGTCTGTCTTTTAAATTTTAATGAAAGCAAAATACAAACAGTTGTGATACAAATATTTTAAGACTACAATTAAAATAAAACTCTACACGTGTCCTTCCCTTTTGTGTTTGTAGAAAGTGGATCGATTTTTACATTTCTACCATTTAGCTTTTGTATCGTTCAAATGGCGTCTTTTTATATGAGACTTTAAATAATTGTTGAATTTCGTCTTATATGGACAATATTCGCACTCGTACCACGTGACTTGTTCTTCCTTCAAATGTATACCAATTACATGACGTTTCAAAGTCCACCGGTGTTTAGTTTTATATGGACATTCTTTACATTCGTACCACTTGACGTCTTCTTCATGTACTTTGTTAATGTGTCGTTTGAGATGGCATTTCCCCCTAGTTTGAAAAGGACACTTTCCACATTTGTACCACTTAGCTCTTTCATCGTCTGAATGGATTTGATTTATGTGGCGGCAATCCATATGACGCTTTAAATCACCGTTGTGTATCGACACATACGGACAATATTTGCACTGATACGGTTTGACCTGCAAATGGGCTTTTACGTGCTGTTTTAAAGAGCGCTTTGTTTTACTTTTATATGAGCACTTGGCACATTCATACCATTCTGGATTTTCTGAATGAATATCAGTTATATGTCTCTTTAAAGTTCGACTCAATCTAGTTTTGTAGGGACATTTTTCGCATTCGTAGCGTTTATTTTCATCCGAATGTTTAGCTTTTACGTGATTTCTTAAATTTGCCTTCCATTTACTTCTAAATGGACAACTGTCACAAGCGTACCATTTAACTTTTCTTTCGTTTTGATGTCGTGCAAGTACGTGTGTCCTTAAATTATCTTTATACCTAGTTTTGTGTGGACACTCCCTGCATTCGTACAATTTGATGTTTTCTTCTGTCGCGTGTAACAAATTTGTATGTAGTTTAAAACTCTGTTGCCATCGGGTTTTAAATGGACACTTATCACATGTGTACAATTTGCCATCTTTTAAATGTATATTACTCACGTGGATTTTTAAACTTGCTTTAATTTTACTTTTATATGGACAATGTTTGCATTTGTACCACTTGATTTTTGCTTTCTCTAGATGGTTTACAATAACGTGCCTCGTTAAAAGGTTTTTATGCTTAGTTTTAAATGGACACTCACTGTCATATATGTCCTCTTCCTTTCCTGTACATGCTGAAGAATGCTGAAGCCACTTTAACATGAAATTTGTTTGGAAGTCGCATTTTTCGCAAACGTAGTTTTCAACAACAAAATCCCAACTTGATTCTTTCTTAAGTCCGTGATTTTTATCAATGTGTTGTTTGAACAGAATCATTAGTTCGGTTTGAAAATCGCAATCTTTGCAGTAATAGACTTCGATTTTGGAATTGTAGCATGTGAATTTTTCCACGGGTGAACGATGTCGTCGCACGTGGTTCACCATTAAGAAAAGTGACGTTGTAAAATAGGGGCATTGTTTACAGTTGTGGACGTTTTTCCATGAAGATCTTCCCCGAACTCGAAGAGATTCGGAATACTCCAAAGTTGACATTTTGATAAGCTAAAACCGCCTTATTACACTGGGGAAGTGTATGCAATTTTGTTTACCTAAATCGTCTCTAGACTATTCGATAAACACCACAGTTTTAACCTCACTTTTTCGGGTCAAAAATAATTTCGATTTTTGGAAAAATTAAATAAGTTGCAACCAAAAGTCGCTGCAGAAATGTACTGCCGTCAAAAATAGTTACAAAACTTTGTTCAAATAACACACAAACAACAAATTGCATAAAAAGTTAGGTTAGGGTGCTCAACGTCAACATTTAGTGAATTCGAGAACTACCATTCCCACAGATATTGAATAAATAAATAAAAGTGGATATTTTTCCAAAAATGCCCGAAAACGGAGTAAGTAATAAAACAATTAAAAAAATATCATGATTTTTTTATTATATAATATTTATTAACGATTATAAAAAATTAGGAGCTTTGGATTTGTCTTATTGGCAATCATGAAACAAAATTCAACCAAATAATTGAGGACTGTCAAAAAGTTTGGTTTATTCCCTCCCAACAAATCGATGATAGCTACTAGTATTACTATTATTATTGTAGTAACGCATTAAAGTAACATTTAGTAAATCGATGCGCTCTGTTTACATTACATTGCAAAAATAAGTCGTGAAATGTACAATTTATGTGTATTACTAGTTGCATAACCAACCAAACTTTTTGAAATTATGAATCACTAAACTTAAATCAGAATAATATTTTTGTTTTTGTGTATAAAGTACCAAACGTGGAGAAACAAATTCCTTATCTACTACTTTCAACTGCAAACCGTTTGGTCAAATGGCTATTTTTGGAACTGTATGTGACAATTTTTCGGCAGAAATAATTACAAAAATATAATTTGTTCAAATTTTAAATATCCACCATCCGGTGACGTAAGTTGGTGACAAACAAAAAATATCCCTAGCTAAATGATTACTCTTTCTAGTTACCTGCTAGCACCCTGCTAGTTACTACTTAGGGATATTTCATGTTTTACCAACATACACCATCACGTGGTGAATGTTTGTAACCTGACCAAATAATATTTACTATAATTACTTCTGCCGTTTGTATATTTCTGCAGTATAATTTTGCTGTGTTTTAGTTAAAACGATAACATTCGTGCACTTATTGTTGTGTTTTTCAAAAAGTCGAAACGTTATATTTGATGTGAATGTTAGGTTAAAACTGTTTTGTTTATCGGTTGGTCAAAAGGTGAACGTTTTAGGTAAACAAAGTTGCATTTAATCTTCCAGTATAATAATAAGGTGGTTTTAGGTAACCAAAATGTCACTCATGGAATATTCTGAATCTCTTAAAATTTGGGGAAGATCTTCGTGGAAAAACGTCCACAATTGTAAACAATGTCCCTATTTTACAACATCGCTTTTCTTTATGGTCAACCACGTGAGACGCCACCGTTCCACTCTAGAAAAACTGACTTGTGAAAACGCCAAAATCGAAGCATTTTACTGTAAAGACTGCGATTTTCAAACGGAGCTAACGATTCTGTTTAAACAACACATTCGTAAACACCACGGCCTTAAGAAAGAATCAGGGGATGATTCATCAAGCCAGGACTTTGTTGTCAAAAACTACGTTTGCGAAAAATGCGACTTTGAAACAAATTTGTTGTTGAAGTGGCTTCGGCACACTTCAGCGTGCCTGGGAAAGCAAAAAAATCGTCAGAGTGTGAGTTCGTCCAATGAAATACGTTGGTGTTGTGAGGAATGTCCCTATACAGCTAAATCCAAAAGCTGTTTAAAACGTCATGTAGCCAACAATCATTCGAATAAGCAGTATGCTTGCGACAAGTGTCCGTACAAAAGTGGACTTCCTGGAGCTTTAAGAGTCCACATCAATAGAGTCCATTTGGACGAACAAGAAGGTAAATGGTACCAGTGCAATGAGTGTCCGTTCAAAACTAGGTATGAAAGAAATTTAAAGGCGCACGGAATTGTAAGACATCCAAATGGAGACAAAATTAAGTGGTATGGATGCCTCCAGTGCCCCCATAAAAGTCGAAATAAACAATCTTTAAAACATCACATAGAGTGCATACACTTCAAAAAAGAAGACGTTAACCGGTACCAGTGCAATCAGTGTCCATTCAGAACTAAGCATATACGTTATTTACAAAGACACGTTACTTTACAACATCTAACTGAAAAAAAAATTACATGGTACAGATGTGGCAGTTGTTCATTTAGAAGTAAATACGAGGCGAATTTAAAACATCATCTGGTTCTCTGTACAGAAGTAAATTTATTTGAGATTCAAAGAAACACGGATTTTAACCATTCAAAAAATCAGAATGGTGAGAATGCGTGAAATGTTCATATCAAAGCAACTAAAGCATTTTTTAAATAAAATTGTGAAAAAACTAAATGTTTTATTTTCCACCCTTCTAATGTTAATTGCGATTATGGAAAAACGGTTGAAGTTGATGTAGAAATGAAGCCGAAAATCGTCAAAAATAATTATAGATTATACCTAGTAATGATGTATATTGTGTTGCATAATCGAGGAGAGGAAGTCAGTCAACTGGAAAATATTTTTTCTTTAAAATTTTAATAAAAATAAAAAAAGTAAAATAGGGGCACTGTTTACAGTTGTGGATGTTTTTCCATGAAGATCTTCCCGAACTTCGAAGAGATTCAGAATATTCCAAAATCGACATTTTGGTGCCTAAAACAGTCTTATAAATGCAACTTTGCTCACTGAAATATATTTGAGCCACCAGGACTCACTTTAAAATTATACGTGAACAATCACTTTCGAGACATAACCTCAAAAATTGAAACCACCAATAACAACAGTTTGTAGCCTTTAACTTTGTTGACGTTTAATATCCTCGATGAAGTTGAAAAAAACACATGTTGGAGACAATTTCTTTGGGTTTAGATTCGGAATAGTTGTTAAATTAAAATTAACCCCAAAAATGTGCAATTTCCAACCAAACAATGACGTCACTGTCACGTGATTGTCACGTGACCCACCTGAGCAATGGTCCGGTTTCTACATGAGAGTGCACGGGATTCGGGAGGCGAAGGTTCCAGAAAGAGTGAAAAAGTACTTTTGTGGCATTTGTCCTAAGACAATAAGTTACAAAAGCACATTAAGTCACACTGGAGAAAGACCATTCGGGTGTCCCGCTTGTGATAAGTGTTTTATTGATAAGTCATACATTAAACAACACTTGAAGACTGCCCATAATGTGTTTTAAAACAACTAGGTTAATAAAATTATCAAACCTAGAGTTAGTTTATTCTTGAGATTACTCAGTCCAGCGATGAGCGCACATTGGGTTTGTGCACACGTAATACAACCTCATTTCTTCCTCAGCGCGACGGGTCTGAGCTTGGAAGAAGACCGCCTCTCTGAACATTAAAAAAAATAATAGAAAAGGTTACAAGGGAGCACGAATTTACCTGTGGTTACACTCAGGACAATGATGGTCTTCCGTACGGGGAAGAGTAGGATCTGAGATGACGTCAGCGACGATGTGGGTCAGTTCACTGTAAATACACATTACATAAATTATATTCAAATGGGTAGTCTTTATTTGCATTTTTTAATATTAAATTAGGCAGATTTCTGCTCTATGTACCGCATTACGTAAAAAAAGAATTAGGCCCGCCCACCCACCCTCTCTTTTCTTGGAAGGTTTGTGATTTGCCAAAATCAGTCTTATTTTGGCAAAAACTAGCCCCGCCCACCCACCCTCTTCTCATTCTAACGACTAATTATGTTTCTATGTCGAGTGAGAGTTGAAACTAATTGAATCCGGAATGTGAAAAAGTCAAAAAATAGCGCTAATCGTAACTTTTTTTGTTGAATTATTTGCTATGACCTGACTTGACCTGACCTATTCTAACTTCTGTATTGTCTCAAATAAACAAATTTTAAACATTTCTGTGAAAATACCTATAAAAGGCACAAATACACTCTTAAAACAATTGTATTTTGTAAAACAAAAGTTAATAAAAATTTCCTTCATCTACAAATTTTTATACCGAGATATTTTTAAATTGCTACATTTCAATTGGTGATTTTGGAAAAACTTCTGGATACTGAAATATACAAGAAAATGTATTTAACTAATTTTCGAAAATAGTTGAAAAATATGTCAAAATTGCCAAAATCACCACTCTCTATTTTCTTGTAGGATATGTCATCTGCCAAAATCTGTCTTATCTTGGGAAATATTAGCCCCAACTCCCTTCTCATTCCAACGACTAATTTTATTTCTGTCCAATATAAGATCATTCAATCCATTCAGAGCGGATAAAACCAATCATTGAAATAGAGACAGGGTGGGTGGGCGGGGCTAATTATGTTCTTCTGTCGAGTAGGAGTGGAAACTAATAGGATCTAGGATGTAAAAACAGTAAAAAAAGCGCTAATCGTGACTTTTTTTTGGTCGAATATATCAAAAGTGCCAAAATCCAGTCTTATCTTATCAAATACTAGCCCCGCCCACCCACCCTTTATTTTCTTGTAGGATATGTCATCTGCCAAAATCTGTCGTATCTTAGAAAATATTAGCCCCACCCACCCACCCCCTCTCCTCATTCTAACGACTAGTTTTATTTCTGTTCAATATAAGATCATTCCATCCATTCAGAGCGTATAAAACCAATCACCGAAATAGAGGCCGGGTGGGTGGGCGGGGCTAATTATGTTCTTTTCTCGAGTGGGAGTGGCAACTAATAGTATCTAGGATGTGAAAAAAGTAAAAAAAAGCACTAATCCTAACTTTTTTTTGGTCGAATATGTCAAAAATGCCAAAATCAGTCTTATCTCAGCAAATATTAGCCCCGCCCGCCCACCCCCTCTTCTCATTCTAACGACTAATTTTATTTCTGTTTATAAGGTCATTACTTTCATTCAAATTGGATAAAATCAACCACTGAAAAGGAGACAGGGTGGGTGGGCGGGGCTAATTTTTGTTATACTATTTGTTACAAAATTTATTACTTATTTCATGCACCCGACCTGACTTGACCTAACGTGATCTGACCTGTTGTGATTTCTTTATTGTCTCAAATAAACAAATTTTAAACATTTCTGTGAATATATGAAACCACAAAGTACACTCTTACAACTATTGTATTCTGTAAAACAAAAATTATTAATAATTTCCCTTTTTATCTACACAAATTTTATACTTAGCGATTTTGACGGAACTGTAAAAATTTCAATTGGCGATTTTGGAAAAACAGGAATTTCCAAAGGAACGACGCCGAAAATGACTTTTGGATGTTGAAATCTACAAAAACATGTTTTCGGAAATGGTTAAAAAATGGTCGAAAATGCCAAACTTCAAATCAGTTTCATCTTATCAAATACTAGCCCCGCCCACCCACCCTCACTTTTCTTAGAAGGTATGTGATTTGCCAAAATCAGTCTTATCTTAACAAGTGCTAGCCCCGCCCACCCACCCCTCTTCCCATTCTAACGACTAATTTTATTTCTGTTTAGTATAAGATCATTCATTTCATCAATCACTAAAATAGATACGGGTGGGTGGGCGGGGCTAATTATGTTGCTATGTTTCAATTGGCGATTTTGGAAAAACCATAGAAATCTTCGAAGAAACGAAGTCGAAAATGACTTCTGAATATCGAATCTACAAGAAAATGTCTTTCGGTAATTTTCGAAAATAGTTAAAAAATGGTCGAAAATATCAAAAGTGCCAAATCAGTACTATTTTATCAAATGCTGTGAAAATACCTATAAAAACTACAAAGTGCATTCTTGAATTAATTGTATTTTGTGAAACAAAAATTGAAAACAATTTCCTTTTTATCTATAAAAATTTTATACCGAGCGATTTTAAAGGAACCGCAAAAATTGTTATATTTCAATTGGCGATTTTGAAATAACGGTAGAAATTTTTGAAGAAACGAAGCCGAAAATGATTTCTGGTTGAGAAATGGTCGAAAATGTCAAAAGTGCCAAAATCCGTCTTATCTTATAAAATGCCAAGATTTTTGGAAAAAAAAATCAGAACTGTACGACGCATTTTGAATTAATATATGGTATATTTTTTATTATTTAAATAAATTGTACTATTGACAAATATTTAATATGACGGGGGCTTTCAGAATACGTTACTTTCTCACTGTGAGGATTCTCAAGCGAGTCTATTATGTTTAACACAGATATTTATCTGTCACATTTTTTTGGTTGATTGAACTGTTTTCAGGGGCTTAGAACATGAAAAAGCTGCAGTTTCAAGTATAATACATCTACACTACATTAATATAATTTTTTCATAAAAAAGGAAAAAATTTGTCTTGTGGCTTTATTGTATTAACAATTGTAACCAACGATTTCTCAGCAAACGTGGAACTTTTCAAAATTCTTTGTAACGGTTCTCTCCGAAATTCTATTTCTCGTCCCTTTTTATCGCCATTATCTTTATTTTTTAGTTTTGATTTTTGTCATACGCTCAAAAATGCGAGAAATCTCTTTATGGATCGCGATATGATGAAATAATATCTTCAGATTTTATAAAAGAAAATATATGTAATTGAAAAAAAAAAAAAATCCAAATTTTTCAAAACATAATTCCTATTACGTCATTTGGTATACGTGACGCACATTTAAGATTACCATTTCTTTTTTTAGAAAAAGTTCGAAATTTGAGCATTAATGCTGAAAATACCATGTACTCAACATCTGTTGCCTTCATGACCAGATATATTAAAAGAAAAAAAAAACATTCATTACTAATTATTATATGAATAACATCAAAATTATTCAAAATGCATGGCGAGATGGCGCTAGTTACCCAACGAATGCTCAGATCTTAGTTAGCCATGCTAAACTTTCTAAATCCTGTGATATGGCAACACAGTTATCAACGTGCTAATAATTTCTGACCACATCTGAACCAAAAGTACTTACTCAATTTCGTGCATAATTTTATTGACGTAGATGCACTTGGAGTCCGCGTGCTGTTTGTAGTCGCAGTTGCGACACGCATACAACAGAATCTTGTTTTCCTTGTCCTCCTTGGGGTACAACATGTTGTTGCTGCGACAAAAACATGTTGAGGTTTGTTGGGCGAGGCGAATTTTTCACTCACCACTCCTGGCAAAACCTTATACCGACGAACCCCGGGCCTTCGCTGTGAGAATCGTACCTCGACATTTTCTTTTCGTTTTAGTTTCGCGCTAAACCTTGAAACAAATATTTGGAGATTGTTTGGGTCAAACACGAACAAAACAAATGGCGTCTTGACTTGACATTTGACGTTTTTGACGTTTCTAGCAGGCTGCCAACTTTACGAAATCGCATTATTTATCCATTTATTATTATTATTATTCACAATAAAAGACTACTAGCAAAACAAAAAAACCAACTTAATAAATTCAGCTTAACACTACTACACAAAGCATAAAGTAAACTAAATCCTACTTATGTTTTCTGTTTGTGTGTTGCCATACACTTGATTTAGTTTTCCTTTTGTAAGCGCAGTATTCACATTTGTACCATTTAGCTTCCCTTTCATCCAAATGGAGACTATTTACGTGACGTTTTAAATGAAATTCGCGTTTCGCCTTGTATGGACAATAATCGCACTGATACGGTCTAGCCTCCAAATGGACGATTTGATGCGTTGTTACATTTTTTCTTGTTTGACTCTTATATGAACACTTTGCACATTCAAACCATTCTCGTTTTTCTGAATCATTAACACACCTATGTCTCCCTAACCCTGAAATAAAATTAGTTCTGAATGGACACTTCTCGCAATTGAACCACTCAACTTCCATTTGATTCAGATGCCGAGAAATTAGATGCCTTTTTAAATCAATCTTCTGTCTAGCTTTAAATGGGCAATTTTCGCATTCATACCACTCAATTTTGTCTTCAGTTAGATGTTTTGCAACTATGTGTCTTTTTAAATTTGCGTTACGCTTAGTTTTGTAGCGGCACTCACTGCATTCGTACCATTTAATGTCCTCTTTATTCAAGTGTGAGTTCACACTTTCAAGATTTTTTTTCTTTTTTGTGCATGCTGAATAATGCTGAAGCAACTTTAATGAGAGATTGGTTTCGAAGTTGCATTTTACGCAAACGTAGCTTTGTATGCGGAAATCCTCACTTGATAAATCCTCTTTTTTACGGCAGTGATGTTTATTGATGTGTCGTTTGAACAGGACGGTTAGTTCCGTTTTAAAATCGCAGTCTTTACAATAAAACGCTTCAATTTCGCTTGTGCAAGTGGATTCTTCCACGGGGAAACGGTGTCGTCTCACGTGGTTCACCATAACCAGGAGCGAAGTTGTAAAATATGGGCACAGTTTACAGTTGTGGACGTTCTTCCATGAAGATCTTCCCCAAATTTTAAGAGATTCAGAATATTCCAGAATCGACATTTTGATGCCTAAAATAGTCTTATTAGATTAGGGAAGCAAATGCAACTTTGGTCACCGTTTAGATTTGGGCCACCAGGACTTAATTTAATCCAGGCATTTTCAAATTTCCTGTGGTCAAATATTTTTGAGGTACATAACCTCAAAAAGTGGAACGACCAATGACAATCGTTTGGAGTCTTTTAAATTTTTTGACATTTTACGATTTGATGTATATTGTGTTGCATAATCGAGGATAGGGAGTCATGTAATTATAATTTTTCTGGGGTTTTCCCTTTGAATTGCTGAATCTGTCTGGAAAATCCTGCAAATCTTTGAGGATTTATGTAAAACATTTCGAAGAGGAACCCAGTTTGAGACTGTGCAACAAGAAATAAACATCAAATAAGTGTAATACTGTTTAAATAATAGTAATTTATCTACGTTCAAATACGATAAGATTACCTTTTCCGGTTCTGTCGGTGATGAAATATACAAAGAGTTGTAAAAGCCATAAATAGACACCGAACGAATGTTACTGACGTGCACAAGATGTAATTATTTGTGAAAATTCGTAACATCATCTTCATTAGTGTCGTTGGTCTTGGAATGTTGCAGGTGAGTAACAACTTTTTTTTTATTAATAAAGTTAAAACAAATATGTTAAGCTGTTTTGTGTGCACATGTTTTAGTTTCAAATTCCTTTGACTTCGTCATTTAACTATATTTGTTGAAAGCAATATTTATTTTTATTTTTTTTTTTTACATTAGTTTGTTGATTGCTAGCAGGTTATGTAGATGTTTGTGATTGTGTGAGCAAGGTCATGACATTGTAAATTTTATCACGCGAAGGTTTTTTTTTTTTTTTTTAGAACGAAGATACGTCAAATTCATCCGGTCAGTCTATTCGTAAAATATCGCTGGTAATTTAAATTTAAAACTATTACAATTAACATTATAATAACAATTTTCAGCTTTTTGAAAAAAGGACTGGCACTACTGACAGAGGGAAGGATTACGAACACCTCTACATCACCCACTTGCTCCTCAAACTCATAACCGACGACAGAATCGAAGACTTCTACCTCTCATCCAACGACAAAAAATTCGGTTCCTTTGACGACATCGTCGTCAACATCAAATACCATGACCAAAAAAACACCACACAAACCTACGCCATCCAGCTCAAACAAAGCAAAAACACGATCGTACGAACCAGAAACCTCACATCCGAAAAAGGCAACTTCAGTATTAGCCAGTACCTTGAAGACTACACCAAAAACTTGAGCAAAATCCCGAACCTCAAACTAATTTTATTCACCAACTGTTCCACACAGATAGACAGAGATTTTAAAATCAAAACCGGCGGTGAAGAATTAGACCTACAAGTATTAACAGTCACCGAAAACTACTTATTTTCAACCCACAGCCAACCCTGGTGCCACAAGTTCACCACAAACAAGTATGAAAAGTTTTTTAACAATTTTTCACTTTATAGTGCTCAAGCGGACGTCGATCGGCTCGAAGCCATCACGTCTAAGTCGTTCTGCGAGCGCTTCCACACCACCGACGGTAGTTTCACGGAATTTAGTAGCTTCATTTGTCGATGGAGTGTGAAAAGCGGAAGCAAAGAGAAGTTGTACAAAGAATGGGTGAAGAAGGTGATTATGTTGTGTGTTTTGGGACCACTGGTCAAACCTTTGGTGTTTTGTGGTGGTCGAGGTGTCAACGACAAAGGGCGAATTTTCAGAGAGGTGGTGGCGGAAATGCGAGTGGTGACGGTTGCTCAATCGAGTTACCGGAGGATTAAGACGGTGTGGCAAGATGTGGTGGAGCTGCTAGACGACGACGAGATGACAAAAGTCGACGAAATTCGAACCAAGTACCAAATTCGTGGCGAGTTTAAACTGAGGAGCGATTTGTACAAGGAAGATAAGGATGTGAGTAAGGTGCTGTGGTTGCTGGGGAAGTGTCCGTTGGTGGTGGAAGAACACCCAGCGGTGTATCAAGCAATGCCGCTGGGTGGTACCTTCATAGTAGTGTCTGCCAAAGTCCAAAAGAACTTTCTTTCGATTTCTGATATTCTGTGTGATCAAATCTTGAACGCTTTCACGTACTCTCTCGAAGAGCAGAAAGAAGAAACGTTGAAAAGTCTATACTTGGAGTCACAATTTTGGGGTACCATCACCACCGATAATCTAGTACAAATGATCGATGGCCCGCTAGTTATAGGTCAACCTGAAGTGTCTCTTCCACCTTGCCACGTCACGAGAACCCTCTGGAAAATCTTCATCGACTTGGGTTTTCTCAAAGACTCCACAAACACCGTCCTCGTCATCAGTGGCTTACCAAACGTAGAACTCTTTTGTTGTATTTTTGACTACGTAGAAGTCTTCGACTTCGACTCAAGTGAAAGACTTGACCATTGCAACAAAACCAACGGAAACGTCGTCTACGTAAGCCAAAGGGTCATCCCACAGGAAGAATTCGATAAGTTCTGTGCCACCAAAAAGAGAAAATGTTACCAATTCAAGTACGTGAGACAGTGTTACGAATGGTTGAGAGGGACCAACATCGAAGAAATCAAAAAGTACCGATTGAACCACGAGTACGTCAACGATGGCATTTCCGAGTACGACCTTTTTGGTGACGGCGAAAACAACATAAACATAGTTTGTGCCAACTCAGGCATGGGAAAAAGCACCCTGATGAAGAGTTTAAAACGAAACAGTTCGTCCAAAACCTGGACGATTTTTCTCTACGCCAGAAAGTACGCCTTACTGTGTCGACAAAAAGTCGACGTCGACGTATTTCTAACAAACTTGGCGATTGATATCTGCCAAAAGTACGACGACGCAGACATTTTCAAAACCCTGATGTCCAAACGCCGAGTCAGGATCATATGGGACGGTTTAGACGAAGTGTCCAATGAAAGTCTGGACGCTATAATCAACACCATCAAGCAAATTTCGAGCACGAAAATCAAACAGTGGGTGACTGCTCGAAACACGATCAAAACTCTTCTAGAAACAAAACTACAAACCTTTTCCTACAGGATAAAGCAGTTCAGTGGTGAAGAACAACGCGTTTACATCCAGAAGCGACTAAACTTTGCAGACTCCGAGTTGTTCGAGATTTTCAAAACCGTGGAAATCAAAATGCAGCCGTTTTGCAACAACGACGTTCTTGGAGTTCCACTACAGATCTACATGTTGACGGAACTCTTCTCCCGAAACAAGAAAAAGTACTTGAAGTTGTTGAACCGCACGTTCACTCTTCTCGATTTGTACGAGAACTTCGTCCGAGAGAAGTTCTACGTCCACTACGTGGAGAAGTTGAAGCTGGATTTGAGCATCGAAGACAACTACGCGAAGTTCGTGCGGGAGATGGAACAACGACTCGAGTGTTACAAGAGGGTGGCTTTTGACACGTATTTGAGTAACAAAGGGTTGCTTTCGTACTTCCAGAAACCCGACAGTTTTCTCGTCGAAGTGAAAACCAGACGCGATTTCGTGGGTTTCATCAGTACTGTATCCGACGAAATGGTACCAGAGTTCGTCCACAACTCCTTCGGGGAGTACTTCGCAGCGGCGTACTTATTCGACAACGACAAGAACAAAGCACGAGACCCCAGATTTACCCAAAACGACGATTATAATAATATCCGGTTTTTTCTCGACTTGATGTTGACCAAAACGTCGCGAGCCCATTCGGCGGTGTTGAACAAGAACTCGATGCTTTTGGACGAGTGTTCTGCCGAAGACTTGAAGAGTAAGGATTTGGTGGGTCGAGGGGTGTTGGAATTGTCGTGTGCGTGGAGCAAGCAGTACGAGATTGTCAAGATACAGAAGATGGGCTTCGGGAGGTTTAACATTCATAGTAGGTACTTGGACGACAACGCCAAGAGGCTTCAGTATGGAGAAGTCTATAGAGATTTCGTCAAGGTTGAAGACCCACGAATGACGAAGTTGTTGTTGTTGCTACCTTTTCTGGTGTCGGTTTATTCGAAGATGCGTCTGGACGATGAGTGTGCCGCTATGGTGATCTACTACTCGGTAGTGTTTGACTATGCGGTCATCTTCAAGTATGTCGATGAAGTTCCGGAGCTGAAACGGACATATGATAATTTTGATCCGGTGTATCTGCTGTCTGTAGCTTTAATTTATGAGTCGAGGCAGTGTCTGCAGGAGTTCGCTTTGAAGAAGCCATTCCGTGACGCTTTGGGTAACAATCTGGACATCCTCTTGTACGCTTGTCAGCTCCAAGGACAAGAAATCTTCTCCGTAATTGTCGAACACGTCGTGGATATCAATCAGCTTATTTACTACGCTTGTTGTCAAGGAAGATTTTCCAATGTCCACTTTCTGGTGACCAAGGGGGTCAAAACTTACATCCCCGACGACCACGGACGGACTCCTATCCACTACAGTGCTGATAACGAAATCGACGGTTTGCGCATTTTGGACTTCCTGCTTCTGATAGGCGCAAGTCCCAATATACTAGATAAGAAAAATCGGCACCCTCTGCATTATGCGTGTATGAATGGCCGCTTTGGTCCCAATATAGTACAAATGTTATTAGACACTAAGTACCTCAACCACGTGGATATTTATAATCGAGTCCCTTTACATTATGCGTGCGATAACGAAGACTGTGGACTCCAAATTGTCACAATTTTGCTAAACCAAGCAGCCCAAACCCAAGTCCCGGACGTCAACGGACTCACCCCTTTACATTATGCGTGCATGAACTGGAAGCAAGGTTCGCGCATCGTGGACTTACTAATGCAAGCCCACGCCGATAAAACAGTCCAGGACTTCAACGGCCGCACTCCTTTACATTACGCGTGCAAGAACTACTTCCGAGGCTCCGAAATCGTCGACTTATTGGTCGACAACACCCTTGTCGACACCCCAGATTCCGAAAACCGTCTCCCTTTACACGATGCGTGCGAACGCGGATCTTCCACCACAGTGCAAACTTTAATGCGCCATAGCGACAAAATCGACCCCGCAGATAATAAAGGTCAAACTCCACTTCACAACGCGTGCAAGAACTACGTCCACGGTGACAAAATCGTGCAGCTACTGTTAGAAAAACGCGCGAAAATCGACAGTGAAGATTTGAACGGTCGACAACCATTACATTATGCGTGCGAGTTCGGTAAAGCTTTAACTGTGTCATTTTTGCTTCTGAAAGGTGCTAAAGTCAATAAAGTTGACGCTCAAGGACGGCTTCCGATTCACTACGCTTGCATGAACGTCTACCAGAGTCCTTTGATTGTCAAATTGTTGATCGATCGGATTTCGAGGGTGGGGGTGGCAGATGCTGCTGGACTTCTTCCCATACATTATGCGTGCGAATATGCGGATGTTAATTGTGTCCAGTTCTTGATTGACAAGAGTGAGATGCAGTTGGTAGTGCCGGATGCTCAAGGTCGGGTGGCTTTACATTATGCGTGTTTGAATTTCAATCATGGGTTGGATATTGTGAGGTTTTTGATCCGAGCGGGGGCGAAGTGGGACGTGAAAGATAAGTGGGGGCGCATGCCCTTACATTATGCGTGTCAGACGGGGAATATTTATAATGTGGTGGGGCTGGTTGACGTGATGGGTGGGAGCATAAATGTGGGGGATTTGGAGGGGCGGAAGCCGATTGATTATGCGCGCAAGGGGAAGAACTATAACGTTGTTCAATTGTTGAAGAATTTGGAGAGCGGGGGGAGTTTGGAGGTTCCTCTTTAAGGGGCCTCGCTAGACGAGGTATAACATTTTTTTGGTTTTTTGTATGAAAAAATGATATTAATATTGATGTGTCATACATCAAACTGCAGCTTTTTTCGTATTCTAGGGCGCAGAGACCAGTTCAGTCAACTAAAAAAATATGGCTGAGAAATATCGTAAAAAAGCACCATTTTATGTTTTCTTTTCAAGTTTTTTGAGTCATAACCATCATAAAATCGCTTGAAAATTCGCACATGAATAAAACATCACTTTTTACAGGGCGCAGAATCATTAAATGTTTGTTTAAATAATAATGTGTTTATTAAAATCAAAATATACCACAAATTAATGCAAAATACGTCGAATAATTTTAACAGGAATATCAGAGGAAAATTAATGATCTATTGGTTAGCAGAGTTTTTAACCAAAACTAACAGTTATTGAAAAAAATGGGTATCAATTCGACAGAATTTGAGGCGTTAGTTCAGTAGTTTGCCGATAGGAGCGCCACTAAAATTTACGGAAGCGACTTTCAGGTAAAACCCTTATCGCCTGCTTTACCATAAGCTGATTGTTAGAGTTTTCGGCTGATTTTGCTAATTTATGGCAAGGAACTCAGCTTTATAACAAGGCGCCAGGACCGGCCGTAGTAATCTATTGTTAAGAAAATTAACTTTTACGCAATGAGGGACTATCACAAAACCGAATTAAAACTGGGGAACTATAATATTTTTACTCCACTCAGGATCCTGAATTCAATACACATGATTACTAAAAATTCATTGTAATATTATCGTTAATATATATTTTGCTTTGTTAATTAATAAAACTAATAAACATATTTATAATAATAATAAAAAATATATAAAATACAGCTTTTGTTTAACACGTGTAAGTAGCTACTTATCCCAGAAAGGAGGTGTTTTAAAAAAGCCCTACGCCCAGTAACTTCTCCCTTCATTGTTTACTCGAAAAAAGTGCTCGTATATGTTTTCATTTGCCGAGAGATCATTTTCAAAATATATTTATAATAATAATAATGGGTCTTAATAATAGTTTATTTCCCTACAGGTTACACCCAATTACAGGAAAATATACAATACTTAAGATTAAGGCAAACGGCGTGAAATTAAAGACAATAACAAAACTAAAAATTAGGCTTATTCTAAATACTTAATAACATAATCAGAAATCTCTTTAAATGGTGTAAAATAAAGATCACATTCATCAGCTATTTGATTAAAATGCTCACACATAACACTTACCGGTGAATTATTTGATACATTTGTTCGGCCTATTTTGGGGTAAAATGTAATATGTTAGCGGGAATTATGTCTAGATACCGCAAAGTTTAATTTTGATAAAAGCAGAGAGCTATCAATGATGTTATTAACTAGTTTGTATAAAAAGTGAAGGCTTAAAATAATTCTTCTGGTTGATAATAAATTCACATTAAATCTTCTTAGTAACATATGTTGGTCACAGCCTCTTTCAGGATATCTACCGTCAAGGAGAAAACTTACGAATTTTAAAAATTTTCTTTGAACAGACTCGATATGCCAACTATGAGGCTCATAAATAGGGAACCAAATAAGACTACCGTACTCTAATTTTGACCTTACCAGACTACAATATAAAGTAATAAGGTATTTCACGTTCGTAAAATCTCTACAATTTCTGTATATAAAGCTATAGTTTACAAATGCTTTTCTGACAATGTCATTCACGTGATTGACAAAAGTGAGTTTTTCATCAAACAAAATACCTAAGTTTTTAAACTCAGTAGTTCGTGTCAAGTTAGTGCCATTTATATTGTATGATAATTCAATAAATTTTTTCTTATTTGAAAATGACATAACTTTGCATTTATCTAAGTTTAAAGCTAGACAATTTAGGGTGCATCATTTATATAAATTACGTAAATTGTTTTGTAGTAGTAGACAATCATTTAGACTGTCTATCCTGTGGAATATTTTAAAGTCATCTGCGAATAATAACTTTTCACTGAAGATGGTATTTGGGAAGTCATTTATAAACAACAGAAAAAGAAGCGGACCTAAGTTGGAGCCTGAATTAGGGGTAAAAGTTTGAGAGGTATAATTTCTATACCTATCTGACACAATTTATTCTGCCGCGAAGATAAGATTTTAACAAAAGTATTAGTGATTCAGAAAAGCCAATTAATTTTGTTTATGTAATAATATGAAATGATCTATTGTATCAAATGCTTTAGTGAAATCCGTAAATATCACATCAACTTGACTTTTGCCATCTATAGCTTCAGAGACATATTGCGTAGAGTAGGCTAAGTTGGTAATGGTGGATCGTTTTTCTACAAAACCGTGTTGATATGGTGATATTGAATGTTTCAGTGTAGAATATATTTGTTTATAAATGGTTGATTCGAAAACTTTTGAGAAATTGCATAGTAATGCTATTGGACGATAGTTTTCAATCTTGGCTGGATTATCCTTCTTAAATACAGGTGTAATACAAGCTTTTTTCCAAACAGAGGGAAAATGAGAGCGTAAGCAAAGGAAGTATTGTAATCGAGTCCGTCGGCCGACTCTCTACTTTTACGTTTTCTCGATCTTTCATGACCCCTAGAAGACGAAGAAATAGGTCTCCCATTTCCGTCTGTCTGTCCGTCTGTCCGTCTGTCCGTCTGTCCGTCTGTCCGTCTGCCGTCCCGGATTTTTATTAGACAGATAATCTCCGAAAGTACTCGACCGATTGTTGTGAAATTTTGTACTTATTTTAAGAATATCATGTAGATGGTAAAACGCTAACCAAAATTTGTCTAATCATCCCCACCACTAATGCGATGACGTCACTTCAAAATTGTACATAGTAAATGGGTTTTCAATTATATAAAATAACATAGTCCTACACATGTAGTTTACAACTCTGAATCGAGTTTTCACCCGAAACGTCCAGATTTTTGGAAAAAAAATCAAAATTATAAAACAACATTTTGAAATTTAATTTTTAATCTGCTAACCAGAATGCTTTGAAATGTTGCAGATGTTTTAAGGCTATAAAAATATTTGCTTATCCCCTCCAAAAACTTGATGACGTCAGCTCAAAAGTTTGTGGAATAAATCATATCTAAAATGTACAAAATATGATGTGTCTGTACTTGTGATCTATCACTCCATTCATATTTTTTGGATTTGCATATACAGGGTGACTCAAAAAAATTAATGAATGCGTAAATTTATTTTATTGATTTAATCAGGAACTACAGAACCCAATGCTTTGAAATCTTGCAAATGTTTTAAGGTTATAAAGAGCATAATAAATTTTTAGTCCAAATATATTTGCTTATCCCCTCCAAAAAACTGATGACGTCAGCTCAAAAATTTGCCGTATAATCCTATTTAAAATTTACAAAATATGATGAGTCTCTTCTTGTATAATTTATCATTCCTTTCATATTTTTTGGATTCGGATATACAGGTGACTCAAAAAATTTAATGAATGCGCAGATTTATTTTATTGATTTAATCAGGAACTACAAAACCGAATGCTTTGAAATCTAATGTGAAAAAAAAAAACATAATAGGCATGCAGTCGTCACGTTTCCGATAGCGAGGGAAGTACTGTCTAAACTCTTTAGACTAATTTTTTTGATTTTCCCATTTTTCCATTTCTCAATTTTTCAATGTTTCAGTTTCGGATTTTTTCACTGTTTCGATTCTTTAATTTTCCTTCCATTTTTAGGTTTTTCAATATTTCAGCTTTGGAATTTTGCAATATTTCGTTTCTTCAATTTTTCAAATTTTTGATATTCTGTTTTCTCGGTTTTTAAATTTTTCAGTTTTTAAAGTTTTAGTCTTTTAGATTTCTCACTATCTCGACTTTTCGATTTTTCAGTTCCATGATTTTTCAATTTGCCGAATTTTTAAATTTTAGATTTTTTGTTCTCGATCATTCAATTTTCTGAGTTTTCAGGCTTAGATTTTTTTTGTTGTTCAATTCTCGGATTTTTAAAATTTTTGTTTTTTAAATTTTCCTATTTATCAACTTACTGGGATTTGAATGTTTTGATTTTTTGATTGTTCAATTTCTCGATTTTTCAGTTTTTAATTTTTGACGTTTCTAAATTTTTCGATTTTTCAATTTTTCGATTAACTGATTTTTTGATTTTCCCATTTCTCTATTTCTTGATTTTTCGATTCTTTCTTCAATTGTGATTTTTCAATTTTACGATTTCTGGATTTTTCAATGTTTCAGTTTTGGATTTTTTCACTTTTCCGATTCTTCAATTTTCTTTCCATTTTGCAGTTTGTCAAGATTTCAGTTTTGAATTTTTTCACTTTTTCGATTTTTCAATTTTCCTTCCATTTTTCAGTTTTTCAGTATTTCAGTTCTGAGATTTTGCAAAGTTTCGGTTCTTCAATTTTTCCATTTTTTGATGTTTCGATTTCTCGGTTTTTCAATTTTTCGACAGGTATTTTAATTTTTCAATTTTTAAGTTCTAGACGTTCCGTTAATTTTTTGTTTTCCTTGATGTTTCGATTTTTAAATTGTTTAATTTTTAGATTGTTCAATTTCTCGATTTATAAATTTTTCAATTTTTCGGTTTACCGATTTTTTTCATTTAAAATGTTTCAATTTTTCAATTATTAAGTTTTCGATTTTTCAATTTTGGTGTAATTTGAAAACGATATCAATAATACATTTACGCGAAGAAACTAATAGACGGGCTTGATAAGCCTTGTTTGCTCTACAGTGTCTAAATTGTGTTTGAATAATATAATAATTATCTCGAATATTAAAATTAATATATCAAAAAAATACGAGAAATGATTATTCTGTGCTGAAGGTATGTTGTGGGCCGCCTGAACGATAGTCGAATTGTGAGTCTGGTGTTTTATTTAATAAACCTTGTGTCACGACGCATTATGGACGAATTTTCGAAATTGGAAGGTGCGTAATGAATTGTCACGATTTATTAAAAGTCAATGTTTTATTAAAAATAATTTCGTTTAAATAGACATCTGATATAATATACAAGATAAAACCAAAAGAGTTACATAAATTATATAAAAATATAAATAACTAAATAAAACCATTAATAGCTTTGTTACTGACAAGGGGTAAATCACAGGGCAGTGTTTACATTACATAGCAAAATTTGAAAATAACGTATATCTATTTTGACTATTTCAAGCTATTTCGTGTCTTTTAAATTTACTGTATGGCCACCGCGCGTTTAGTACGTTCCAAAAATTTACCCCCGATTCAAAAATGAAAAAGGCACGTCAAGAACAATAAATATACAAAACTCGCTTAGACTTAGTGTTATTGTCATGGTTCCTGATCCTGAAATATATACATGAGCACTCAATAGGGATGGACGCTTGCTATCCCCACTCTACCATTATTCGTCACACTATTGGTTCTATGCAACACCTCGAAGTGTTTCTTCCCTCCCTTCTCCATCCTCAGTTTGGGCTCGGCGTAACTGTGCCTATACCCAGCCGAGTTCTTCTGATTCTTGTACTTCCCCTCCCCCATTTGATCCAGCTCCGCAGTCGACTTAGAGTAGTTATAGTTAGTATCTCTAGTATCAACCACTTCGTCATCCATGTAACTCCTCCTCTTCAACTCTCGTGCGATTTCATTGGAGTTCTTGCGGTGCTCCTCTTCGATCAGATTAAACATGGACCGCCTCTTGGGGTCGTACTTGTCGCGGTACCTCCCCAGAGGCACTTCCCGGTACCGGACTTCTTCTCTAGGTCTGGATGATCTCGACTCTGTGTACATCATGCTCTCGTGTCTCTTAATAAAAGGCTTATCTTTCGTTACTGGCGAAATCGGAGGCTCTAGTTTCTGCGTACCTCTCTCTTTTTCCATAGACAGGAACTTTTCCTTGGCGTCTTGGAACCGGTCTCTGGGGGAGGTGTTGTCGTCTTCGGACGGGGGGCTGCGTTGGCGGTGCTGGGCCGACTTGGAGCGCGACTGGTAGTAGTACTTGTCTTCGTTGGCGTACTTCTGGCGGATTTTGGGCACTGGGGGTTCTTGGTACGACCGCGACGGGTACGACGCGTCGTTACCGTCGTAGCGACCTCGACTCCTATACCTAGTACGAACAGTTAACAGCGTGACTATTTGTTAAATGGTACCTAGATGGGTTTAGTTACCTTATGTTTTCGTCGAACCCGTCATCCTCGAAGTACTTCATGGGTTTCTCCTTTTCCGGCTCGTAGTCGTCGTTGTAGTACCGATCGAAGGACTTCTGGCGCTCTAGTGGGTGCTGTCGCTCGATGGACCTCTGCCGCTCCAGCGACTTCTGGCGATCGATGGATTTCTGCCGCTCTAGAGTTTTCTGTTGCTCGATGGATTTCTGCCGTTCTAGCGACTTCTGCTTCTCGAGGTACTTCGATATGGGTTTTTCTAAGTACTTGGCGATGTCTTTAGTAGTGGGGCGGGGTTTTTCGCTGTATCTGGAGTAGCGGGGCGATTCGGGGGACTTGTCGCGGGTGGCTCTGGGCAGGGTGACTTGAGGGGGGCCGTGCATCAAGTAGAGGGTGGACTCGGCGGGGTTTCCGTTCCAGTCTTCATCTAAAAAAAAAGCGAGTGTTACTTTGGATCTTCGCGACCTGGGCGGGTCTGGGCGAGGCCGCTGCAGGTACTCGCCACCGGCTGTAGGCCGCGCCGAGAATGCGGAAGCCTCGGCTTCGGTTTTTGCGAAAAGTGCACTTCTTTTTTCTTCGGCAACAATACCGGTCGCCCGTACGCCGAATTCGCTGATGGATTATCTGCGGAGACCCACATGTGGTCCACTGGCCTACATACCGCGTGCTTTTCAGCTCCTTTTGCATACTCGAGAGGCAGCAGGTGCCGACGGAAAAAATAACAAAGACAACCTGCTGAACTCTGACTTCTGGCACGGATCGCGCGAGGAAGCGATGGGAACGCGGGCTGCTGATTTACGGCATTGTTGGGTTTAATTAGCGAAAAGTGTAGTCTTCCAGGAAACTCAAAAACTTGTTTAAATTATTGAAGACTCGATTTTCGATGCTTGCTTCAACAATGTCTAATCGGCTTTAGTCACGCACTCACCGCGACTTCTCCGAATAAATCATCCGACGTTTGTGGAACACCCATAAACTGTAATAGTGCTCCTAAAAATGCAAACGCAACCATCTGGTCGCGGCTTGGTAAGACCACCCAAAATTTGCCCAATTAATTCGTCCAATTTGCATTCTTGCATACGTATCTATCGGATTTGATCGACGGGCCATAAACATCTCGGTTTCGTTAATGTGTTGAAAAATTGCCAAGTCGGATTATTTTCGTGGATGGGTGATGGAAATTGTGGTTTGGTTTCTTGTGTGTGCGCATAACAGTATTTTGGTAAATTAATAAAAAATTACCGGACTTGATTTGGGGCAGCGCAAGTTGTCAAGCTATAACGGGGCTTGGAATAAATTGCCTCAAAATTGGTCAGAAAAGGTCAAATTATTGTTTGTGTTTATTTTCCGGCACAGATTGGTTGAAAAATGTAAACTCAGTGAACTGTGTAGTGGCATGCCTGGCTGTCACGTTGACATTTATGACACAAGTAATTTATGCGAATTTCATTGTTGGTGAAATTGTTTCTACTAACCTCAAAATTCATTAGCGGGATCTTTCCGTAATAACAAAGTGTAAAAATACGAACACGTTACAAACGAACAAGAGAAAAATTATAAAAATTGTATTCGATTTTTCAAAGTTTCGAATTTTTTGTTTCTTTAATTCTAGTTTAGTTTCGGTTTTCATTTTCTTAGTTTTTTCGGTTTTTCGGTTTTTCAATGTTCTGATTTTATATATATTTTTTCAGTATGAAAATTTTCAATTTTTCGTTTTTTTATTCTAAACATAAAATAATAATAATAATTTTTAAAATACTTCAAGTTTTCAATTTCAAATTTCCATTTTTGTTTTCCTTATTTTTTAAATTTCCTGGTTTTCTAATGTTACTTTTTAATGTGAAATTTATCTAATTTTGGATTTTTAATTTTCCGGTTTCCAATTTTTAGATTTTTCAATTTTAGTTTTTGCAATTTTTTGTTTCGGTTTTTTATTTGCTGTGTTTCATTTTCATATTGCCAATTTCCAATGTTCCGACTTTATAATTTCTTTTCCAATTTCAATTTTTCATTTTAAAATTTTTCAGTTTTTGGATTTTCCAACGTTTGGATATTTCAATTTTAAAATTTGCAATTTCAGGAGTTTGGAATTATTAATTTTCAATTTTTCATTTTCCTGATTTTTCCAATTTTCCGGTTAAACAATTTCAATTTTTCATTTTAAAATTTTTCAGTTTTTCGATTTTCCAATTTTGAGATTTCCATTTTCACGAGTTTTGAATTTTGAATTTTTCAGTTTTGATTTTCAATTATTCATTTCTTCAATTTTTGGATTTGCAATTTTTCGTTCCGGTTTTTATTTCCCTTATTTTTTTAAATTTTCTGGTTTTCTAATGTCATTTTTTTTAATGTGAAATTTATCAAATTTTGGATTTTTAATTTTCCGGCTTCCAATTTTTCGAATTTTTAATTTTAGTTTTTGTAATTTTTCGTTTCGGTTTTTTATTTGCTGTGTTTCATTTTTATTTTTCCAATTTCCAATGTTCCGATTTTATAATTTTTTTTCCAATTTCAATTTTTCATTTTAAAATTTTCAGTTTTTGGATTTTCCAATTTTAATTTTCAATTTTTCATTTTCCTGATTTTTCCAATTTTCCGGTTAAACAATTTCGAAACGAAAGTTTTTGCAATTTTTCGTTTCGGTTTTTTATTTGCTGTGTTTCATTTTCATTTTTCCAATTTTTCAATGTTCCGATTTTATAATTTTTTTCCAATTTCAATTTTTCGTTTTAAAATTTTTCAGTTTTTGGATATATCAGTTTTAAAATTTGCAATTTCACGAGTTTGGAATTATTAATTTTCCAATTTTAATTTTCAATTTTTCATTTTCCTGATTTTTCCAATTTTCCGGTTAAACAATTTCAATTTTTCATTTTAAAATTTTTCAGTTTTTCGATTTTCCAATTTTGAGATTTGCAATTTCACGAGTTTTGAATTTTGAATGTTTCAGTTTTAATTTTCAATTTTTCATTTCTTTAATTTTTGGATTTGCAATTTTTCGTTCCGGTTTTTATTTTCCTTATTTTTTTAAATTTCCTGGTTTTCTAATGTCATTTTTTTTAATGTGAAATTTATCAAATTTTGGATTTTTAATTTTCCGGCTTCCAATTTTTCGATTTTTCAATTTTAGTTTTTGCAATTTTTCGTTTCGGTTTTTTCTTTGCTGTGTTTCATTTTTATTTTTCCAATTATTCAATGTTCCGATTTTATAATTTTTTTTCCAATTTCAATTTTTCGTTTTAAAATTTTTCAGTTTTTGGATATTTCAGTTTTAAAATTTGCAATTTCACGAGTTTGGAATTACTAATTTTCCAATTTTAATTTTCTATTGTTCATTTTCCTGATTTTTCCAATTTTCCGGTTAAACAATTTCAATTTTTCATTTTAAAATTTTTCAGTTTTTTGATTTTCCAATTTTGAGATTTGCATTTTCACGAGTTTTGAATTTTGAATTTTTCAGTTTTGATTTTCAATTTTTCATTTCTTCAATTTTTGGATTTGCAATTTTTCGTTCCGGTTTTTATGGTCCTTATTTTTTTAGATTTCCTGGTTTTCTAATGTTATTTTTTTTTATGTGAAATTTATAAAATTTGGATTTTTAATTTTCCGGCTTCCAATTTTTCGATTTTTCAATTTTAGTTTTTGTAATTTTTCGTTTCGGTTTTTTATTTGCTGTGTTTCATTTTCATTTTTCCAATTTTTCAATGTTCCGATTTTATAATTTTTTTCCAATTTCAATTTTTCGTTTTAAAATTTTTCAGTTTTTGGATATTTCAGTTTTAAAATTTGCAACTTTCACGAGTTTGGAATTATTAATTTTCCAATTTTAATTTTCAATCTTTCATTTTCCTGATTTTTCCAATTTTCCGGTTAAACAATTTCAATTTTTCATTTTAAAATTTTTTAGTTTTTCGATTTTCCAATGTTGAGATTTGCAATTTCACGAGTTTTGAATTTTGAATTTTTCAGTTTTAATTTTCAATTTTTCATTTCTTTAATTTTTGGATTTGCAATTTTTCGTTCCGGTTTTTATTTTCCTTATTTTTTAAAATTTTCTGGTTCTCTAATGTAATTTTTTTTTAATGTCAAATTTATCAAATTTTGGATTTTTAATTTTCCGGCTTCCAATTTTTCGATTTTTCAATTTTAGTTTTTGCAATTTTTCGTTTCGGTTTTTTATTTGCTGTGTTTCATTTTCATTTTTCCAATTTTTCAATGTTCCGATTTTATAATTTTTTTTTTCCAATTTTAATTTTTCGTTTTAAAATTTTTCAGTTTTTGGATTTTCCAACGTTTGGAAAATTTGCAATTTCACGAGTTTGGAATTATTAATTTTCAATTGTTCATTTTCCTGATTTTTCCAATTTTCCGGTTAAACAATTTCAATTTTTCATTTTAAAATTTTTCAGTTTTTCGATTTTCCAATGTTGAGATTTGCAATTTCATGAGTTTCGAATTTTGAATTTTTCAGTTTTAATTTTCAATTTTTCATTTCTTTAATTTTTGGATTTGCAATTTTTCGTTCCGGTTTTTATTTTCCTTATTTTTTTAAATTTCCTGGTTTTCTAATGTCATTTTTTTTAATGTGAAATTTATCAAATTTTGGATTTTTAATTTTCGGGCTTCCAATTTTTCGATTTTTCAATTTTAGTTTTTGTAATTTTTCGTTTCGGTTTTTTATTTGCTGTGTTTCATTTTCATTTTTCCAATTTTTCAATGTTCCGATTTTATAATTTTTTTTTCCAATTTCAATTTTTCGTTTTAAAATTTTTCAGTTTTTGCATTTTCCAACGTTTGGAAAATTTGCAATTTCACGAGTTTGGAATTATTAATTTTCAATTGTTCATTTTCCTGATTTTTCCAATTTTCCGGTTAAACAATTTCATTTTTTCATTTTAAAATTTTTCAGTTTTTCGATTTTCCAATTTTGAGATTTGCAATTGCACGAGTTTTGAATTTTGAATTTTTCAGTTTTAATTTTCAATTTTTCATTTCTTTAATTTTTGGATTTGCAATTTTTCGTTCCGGTTTTTATTTTCCTTATTTTTTTAAATTTCCTGGTTTTCTAATGTCATTTTTTTTAATGTGAAATTTATAAAATTTGGATTTTTAATTTTCCGGCTTCCAATTTTTCGATTTTTCAATATAAGTTTTTTGCAATTTTTCGTTTCGGTTTTTTATTTGCTGTGTTTCATTTTCATTTTTCCAATTTTTCAATGTTCCGATTTTATAATTTTTTTTCCAATTTCAATTTTTTGTTTTAAAATTTTTCAGTTTTTGGATTTTCCAACGTTTGGATATTTCAATTTTAAAATTTGCAATTTCACGAGTTTGGAATTATTAATTTTCCAATTTTAATTTTCAATTTTTCATTTTCCTGATTTTTACAATTTTCCGGTTAAACAATTTCAATTTTTCATTTTAAAA